ACCCATTGCATATTAATTCTCAAAGACAGTTTCGTTATTTATGATTATTTTTGAAATCTAGATTTTCTAAATAACAACAAGATAAATTTTATATTTTATATTGAAATTGATATGAGCAAAGTGTAAATTTTATGAGTTTAAGAACCAAAATGCAACATAAATCAACTAAGCTATAGTGTTGGCATTTTATAAATATTAAAAAGCGTAAGTTATTGTTGACAAAGTTGCCATTGCAACCGCAATTATAATTATAAGACTTTGATTTCGCTACTTATTCAAGATAATAAATTCTTATACTGTATACTTTTTTATATTTGTTTAAAAGTTTCCGTCGGGGACTAAAATCTCTTGGATGATTTTCATATTGCATGTGGTATAAAAATCAAACAATAATTTACTAAACGGTTTTAAATTGATATATAATTACGATGCAATTTTAGCGTTTGGGTGCGCTAAATCAACGGCATCCAAGTAGGCTAAACGGTAATTTAAAGTATTACTTTTATTTATTTTTATGTGAACATTTCGCAGTGTTAGCGAATGTCTAGATTATTATACAAAATATATTTTGATTACATTTAAATTTGTTTTACCTACAGAACACGTATTACTACTGCGGGAATCCTAAATATGTTCTATATTTAACGTTAGATAAGAAATCCGGTAACACCCAGAGGAATACATAATTTGGGATAATTATTTCTACAGTAATATTTTTATATATCTTTTTATCTCATCACATTGTAACACCTATCAGAGTTATTTTAGGTCTATGAAATCGATAATATAACAATATTTACCTGATTAAAAGAAATAAGGTTAACATACACATAAAAACTTGTTATATGTTCGGAACAGAATGAGATGTTCTTTATCTGTAATGTAATGATATGTTTGAACAACTCACTCTTAGCCAGTACAGTCATTAAAACCGCTACTATATTGTAAAATAAAACATATATAAACATTAGTAATATGACCTGACAATGTTAAGATATTTTCAATATTAATGCAAGTATTTCTAACAATTAAGAATCGACATCTGTAGATGCTTTATTACCATTTGCTTAGTTATAGCATTTTTAAAAAAAAGATAATTATAATGCTGTCATTTTAGAATTGTTACAGATTTGTAATTGTAGAGTACGTCTTAAATTTTGTGTTTTTATTTCTTTTTTAGATGACAAGATAGCAAGATATCAAATAAAACTAGTTTTCAATTGTCTTTGTGATATAAAAAACCTCCCAGGTCTTTTATCATCTTGTTTTACAAATAAATGTTATCAAGTAGCTGATACGTTACGTGTGTAAACGTACTGTAAAAAGTTGCTGGTAAATTTGATAAAAATATATGTTCCAGAACCAAGTACTGGCTATTGAATTATATGCCAGACAGACGTACACGTCTATATCAATTTGCGACTTCTTAAATGCTCCTAATAAACATTTAATATGTATTAGATTTGTTTATCATTTATTTGACAAATGTGTTCTGTTGATAGGTACAATTTGCTAATCTATGTAACATCTATCAACTAAAGGTTTATTAATAATTTTTATCTAGTTATATATCTCATGTATAGGTGCAATGCTAACTTAATCGGTACATTGTTACGTATAAACAGACGTCATCGTGTAGAAGAATTGTTTTGATTATTATTAAACAGTTTTTTTTATTACAAAGGATTGAATAAGCGGGAAATGGCATTAAAGATAATAAAACTTACAAAGCGCCAGAATGTGCATGCAAAAATTGCTTTATCGTCACTGACACCCTCGAGCTCCACACTCTCCAAAGATAAACATTAAATGAATGAAGTATGTATGCCTTGTGCTAATCTCTAAATGTGTTTATACGAAATTAAATGTTATTGAACCTTATAGAAAACAATTAACATTAAGTGTAACCTATTCATATAACGTCTTTATCTCGAGTTGTTAGTGCTTGTTTACAACCATATCTTTGTTTATCTTGTCAAAACATCAATGAGTCAACGATGTGATGCAATAATATACTAGAATTTGTTATTTGTATTACATCCTGACTTTATCATTCTGTAAGTAAAGAAGACGTTCATTTCAAATACGAACTACTTTTTTCCAAATCTAAAACGAATTCTTATATTTTGGATTGCATGAATAATGTTTAATTTTCAAAAAAGTCTATTTTAATATAATTTTGTAAATATTTTTCGTTAATTGTCGTTAACATTAATGAAACATAAATTCAAATAAGTAAATTTCAATGAGGCAGTATCACTATTAAATATAGCAGACCAGAAGAAGTTAATTATAACACACCATCATAAATTATGGTTGGTTATGATTGGTATTTTAAGTGACAGACTATTTACGGAACGTCGCTAGTTCTACTTGGGTGCCCGCTCGTGCCTGAAATAGTGCTACCAGTAAAGCTTAAAAATGCAATATGACAATTACAATGCCGGCGTGACTTAAAAAAATACATCAAATAACAACAACAACACTAATTGTTTTTTCTTCAAACTAATAAAACATCATGAATATCTTTAAAAACTTTCATAACTGTATAACCCTACTACCATAAACTCAAATTAAGAACTTGTAGACTCAGTGGACATGTTCTCGATCAATTTTATTGTAATATTACACCCAACAAATTAAACTTGTCTCGTATGAGTAATATTTTCCGTTGAAAAATATCACCAGACACTCTTCTTGTAAAACGTCATATTTTAAGCTAGGGAGCAACCATTAAACATAAAAATAACAACATAGGTCATAGACCACCAAATTTTTAATTTTCTTAGGATAATGGACACGTCGTCGATCAGCTAATTTTGACATGATAATGTAAAAAAATATTTAAACTAGTACTTGTATGACAAAATTTGGAGTTTATATTTAAAAGAAATGTGAATAAAATAGAAATGAATTATTTGAGATCCTTTACAATTTGTCATCCGCAGGCTTTAAAATACACTCTTCCCAAAATTTTGTAATATAACCCTTGTATTTCCCATTGATATGGTTCTGTACAGTGGTGTAAGGAAGGCCTAATTCAATAGCTGCTTTACGTATGGAATAGCCCTGGGTCACAAGACGTTTTGCCTCACTATATATTTGATCTGGGTTGGTCCTCTGAGACCTAGGCATTGCTGAAAATATATAATTGAGTGTCACCAAAGGGGAAAAATATAGTGGTGTTACACCAAGGGCAAAAAAACCCAGTAAAATATAGTGGTTTGTAACCTATGTGTTTATCTATCCTTTAACTACTTTTTTACTTTTGATATTATGGACAAAATGTAAAAATATCTAATTATTCTTAGGAAAGTGGAAAATATGTATTTTGGGCAAAATATGCATATACTTAGCATCTTTTCTTAATGGCTGATCCCTGACCTAGATTACTGTAGGAAATCGACCCACCCCCTTCCTGGGTAAAGAGCTAAAAGCTAACTTAATTTTATAATGTAGAAAAAAAAAATTGTATAATTATCAAAAGTAGTTATTTTTTGTCATTTTTATATATTTTGTATAAATATTAGAGCTAAGAAGAAAAGATGCACTTACTTTTTTATTGGGTAATTTCTACTTTCACTTCGCCATTGTTTTTAGAATCGTCTGCTGCGTGAACTTTGACCTCACATAAATACTCTTCAGTGGGAGTTTAGTAAAGTACTTACATGTGTTGGAAAAACAAAGTAAAGAAAGTTCGTGTTTTATCAAGTTTATTTGAAAAAGATACAAAAAACAAAATTTTGATCGAGGACCTGGCTGATCGAGGACGTGTCCAATCACTCTATTTGCCTAACTGCAAATAAGAAATGAGTCATACTTGATTCAATGGCGTATAATTCTGTATAGAAATATCATTTAAATATATTGATATAGAAATATTATTTAAAAGTCACTTTGGAAACTAGAATATGCTATTAAACACATTAAAAGCGTGCTTTGTTAATATGAAATCTTTCGATGTTAGTTTTGTAAACATTGATTCTGTTTAGCTTATTTTATTTATTTTCCCATGTATAGCTTTTTAAAGTGGAACATTTAAATTTTTTTAGAACAAAAATGTACAGAAAAATACCGGACACATTATACTTTGCTGTAAAAAAATACACAAACAATTGATGGAAAAATATTTTAGAACCTTTTACCGATTGTTCCTGGTAATGTGTATGCAAAAATATCGCAGTAGTACATGTACCACTTATACATATAAACATCTGATAATTTGTGTGTGTGTGTGTAAGGTAATTATCTAGAAAAATATCATTTGTAGCTGTTGAAAATAAACCAGCAAATGTAACCGACTCGTAGTGAAAGAAAAAGTATAACGACTTTTGTCAAGGAAAAAAAAGAAATATCTGGCCGTCATAGACAAAAAAAGGTTTTATGGTCCCATCAAAAATATGCATATAATAAATGATACTACAAAGGTATTTAAGAACGATTTTTCTATTACATATAAGATTACGATATCTAAGTTAAGGGGAATTAACTGCTAATGATAGCTAAAAATAATAGTTACTTGTTATTCAACTTATTTATAATATCTTTTTAAAGTATAAGTAAATAAAGACTAAAGAAATGAACTTTTTCCGCTGTCACAATTATCGTAAAATATGCTTTATGTCGATTAATCAGGTGACTTTAGTGTGACTTTAAAACTTTAAATCTTTTTTTTCTTCATTATAAACACGGTAAAAAACAAAAAACATAAACACATCCTAAGTTACCAGTTAACATTTATTTGTATTACCATGTTGTTTAACAGACTATATTTATAAAAAATATCTATTGCCTGCTGGTTTATGATATACGGCTAGATTATATTTTTCTTAAAATTATAAATAAGTTTATCTTATTTTATTTCAACATTATTCATCATGAAGTTATCATTGTAGTTAAAATACCTAATAAAACAATTCCAAACTTGCGTTTTAGTATAGTGATTTTAACATACATTATGAGGTAGTTTGAAAATTTCCAGCATGTCAATTAAAATGTGGTCACTGTTGCTTGGCAAATGTATCGAGATTAATTGAACTTGAACTTTGCTCATGTTTTCTACGGAAACAACAGTTCAATACACTTTTGAATGCTTTCCGGAACTCTTTATTTCTGTATCCATAAATCATCCAGTTAAAAGCAGAATTCAGCAGACCAGGTGTAAATGTAAACCGTTTAACATACTGCAATGTAGGTGTATCCCAAAAAGTTACAGCAACGCTAAGTGACATGTAGGGAAGCCAACAAACCATAAATGTTCCGAGGACAATCACCATTGTGATAACATTATGAATATCAGAATGATTCCTTCTATGAATACTTAATGTGCTGTCACCAATAACACTGCGTGTTGATCTTGACTTTGCCATTGCGAGACGAACGACTATTAAGTAAAACACAAAGTTGGCTATCACTGAAATAATAAGCAGCCAATCGACATACGTTTGGTATTCTGTAGGCCATACATTGGTATTTATACATTTGGATGATTTTTCAAAAGTGTCTGCCCCAAAGAAAGGTATTAATGTATTTATAGATACAACAATCCAGCCGACAGAAATCATTGCCGTCATTCTAAATTTTGTCAGCATTATTCTTGAACGAAGAGGAAAATTTACAACTATAAACCTTTCAATTGATATTAAAAGTAAATTGTAGCAAGAGGTTCCAAAGCTTAGAATATACAGTCCCAGGACTATCAAACAAATGTATTTGTTATTCTTCCATTCCAAAATGTCCGTGAGTATATCACACGGAATAAGTACAGCTCCAACGATGAAATCCGACATTGCTAAATTTGCAATCAGTATATGTATATTGTTGCGTAGCCGTGAGAATTTTGCAACACTGTATAATATAAGTCCATTTCCAAAAATTGTCGGTATCATAATAACAATGCTAGCTATATGCCACGTCGTATCAAATGTTTTCGTGGACATATTTATATCATCTGGATGATGTTTGGTGCTATGAATTTCGTGAACCAATTTCCAAATCAAAAACCAAAGTATTTCATGACATTTTTGAACTAATGTAATCTCAATGAATTATGTTTGTTAAACCATTCAGTACTCCTACCACATGCTGTGGTTCAAACGCTAATAGAATTGACGAGCAAATGTTACCATTTGGTAAAAATGGTCAAAGCTAATAAAAAAAAATGTGATTGTTAAAAGATACACAACGTGGTAAAACTTCACATGTTGTATGCGTAATTTTGGTAACTCACAGACAGTTGTAAACCAAATCGATACAATACTTTTCGATATCTCGAAAAAAGAAATATCACAGGGCAGAGTGGTGTTCATCAAACACATCCCCAGAAAAATCCACCGAACACAACCAGAAGATAAGATAAAGGACTGGGCATAGAGGAGTTTAGTAATAGTAATTAACAACTTAAATAGGAGACCCATAAAATGCTTAATCTTTTAATTATTTGATGTAATCAAAGGGATTTACGGGATCTAGGATTGAAAATTATTGTTGAGGGCAAATTGGAAAATACGGGAGGGGGAGAGGAATACTACAGAAAATAAACAATAACAACTGTCAATTCAAACAATGATAAAGGTCCATATGATTTTCGATGATTTGGCAATTCCTTAATTACAGATCACATTATCAATATTTATTTTGACTATTCAAATTTAAAAAATCAACTCCTTTTCATTTGTTTTCACCTTGTTTATTATCTTCTAATGTGTACAGAAAAGTAGAATCAACGGTGTAACGTCTTGTTAAGGCTGATTTTAGACATGATTTTTGTTGGCTTTTAAAAAGTTAAGCTGTCCGTTTCTTTAATCATTAACAGGCTAACGCTTGATTTAGTTTCAAAATAAAAATATGCCGTTAAGAGAGAATATTGTGATAAAATATTTAAAATATTACATTTCGACAGCGAAATATTTGTTCTTGATATGTGCATTCCCAGTTCTTCAGATGAAGTCTATGTTCTAACTGAACCATTATTCTGACAAAATTTCACTCGGTAACAAATTCTAAATGATTTCTTAAATGCTTTTCTATATTCCTTGTTCCTGTAACCATATATAATCCAATTTATACCTGAATTGAAGAGACCCGGTATCAAAGTGCATCGTTTCATGAATTGATTTTGTGCTGTATCCGAAAATGTAACTATCACCCCAAAACTCGCATAAGGTAACCAGCATAGTAGAAATAATCCAAGAACAATTACCATGGTAACCAGTTGGTGAATGTCTCTTTGTGCTTTAACGTGGACGTAGTACAACCCATCAGCAATGGTCTTCGATTGTTTCTTTTTCAATGCTATACGCATGACAATGACATATAGTAGAGCGTTTAGCATAAGCGCAAGTATTAGTATCCAATCGAGGTAGGTTTGGTATGCCTTTGGCCATGCATTTGTGTTAACACATTCAGAGGAATTTATGTTGTTGTCAAAAGCATACAATGGAATGGAAACGTTTATCAGACACACAGACCAACCAAAAAATATCATAAAAGCAAATTTTGGTTTCGACAAAATAAATCTTGCTGAAAATGGGTACTTGATTGCCACAAAGCGTTCGATGGAAATAATAAGAAGACCGTAACAAGACGATCCAAGACTAAGGACAAATAGTAATAATGATGCCAAACATGCATACTTGTTACTTTTCCAGTGGTATATATCCGCCAAGAGGTCCAATGGAATTAACACTGCGCCTACAATCAAATCTGAGACTGCTAAATTAGCTATAAGTATATGCATGTTACCACGAAGACTCTGATATTTTATGACACTATATAGTATAAATCCATTGCCCAAAACTGTCGGGATAACAATGGCGATATAAAGTATATGCCATGTCGTAAAATACGCTTCTAGTTCCATATTATACTTTCAGTTAACGTCACTATTGACTTATATTTATATCTAAAACTTTTTTAAATGTCTCGACTTTCACAGGTGGCAGAATTGCAGTAATTTGATTTGAAATAAAATAACTCTCAGAATATAAGATGCTTTTGTGAGAATTGTCTGATAAAAGTTTTGAAACAATGCATCGAGCCCACATTAATTATTCACAGTGTAAATGGAACACAGCATGATTATCAACAAAGGTTAGCCACTTCCAGGCAACCTCTGAATTCATATGATATTTGTTATGCCCTTTGTTTACACAACTACAATCATTGTAAACAACCAGAAAAGGTTAGTATAAGCAGCATTAAGTTCGCATACTGTTTTAAGTATTAATATTAAGCAATGCAAATATATTTTAAGTCATCAAATATCACTATGTGCTTCTTTAACACATGACACATTACTATAAACCACTTTAACTCGTAAGATTTCACATTGCACCTCTTTAACTCATCATATATAACCTTGTTTTCTCTTTAAGTTATCACATATCACTCCTTTTTAACTTATCACATATCACTCCTTATTAACTTAGTCAAATATCACTATGTACCTCTTGACATATCACTATTTACCTTTTTACTAATCAGATATCACTATACCTTTGGCTTATCATATATCATTATGTACATTTTGGCTTATCACATATCACTATGCATATCTTTTAGACGTATAAAGAAAGCAAAGTTTAAGTTTAAATCTTTTAATAGTAATGTATGTTACACTTTGTAAAAAACAAAGTACATTTTGTAAACGATTTTATTTCATTAAGTAATTAATGGTAATACATGCTACAGATACCACATTCATTAAATAGATTATATAATCTAATAAAAACATACATTATCAAGGTTATGCATTGAAAGCTGTTATATTTTGAAGGAAAAGAAATTTCATGAAGGTCAAAGTTAGTGCCTTCTATGTAGGGGTTCATGCACTTTATTTGAAATCATTTTGATGAACTAAAAGAGTATTCACAAAAGCCTTTTCGTTTTGTTTTTGCCTTTAGCACTTTTGACTTCTTTATCTTTTCGCATTGTTCCATTGTCGCAATTTTGCATTATTGCATTTGCATTTTTCAATCATATTCAGGGCGTCCATGTGTTTGGTTAATTAAATTGAGGATATTAAATTGAGTGTAAGTTCAATACTGCATTTTTTGAACGAGTTGAATAAAATTATATTATCTGGACAGCATATTTTTTATTCAAGGAGTGCAATAAATTTAGTAATAAACTTACACGAATTTAATATTCTATTTATCACATACCAAAAATAACGACCGTCAAATATTTTTCATTGACGCTAACATTTAACGCGTTTTAATACACTTGTTACTATATATAGTAACAAAATTGCCTATGATTTCAACTGATTATGAGTGTCACGTGACCTATTATGAGTTTGCGGCCCGGGGCCGAGAACTAGTTATCAGCCCGCAGAACATGTGCACGTGCACAAACTGAAACAATGACGTCATATTTTACGTCATCAAACAGTTAACTGTAAAAGTGAAAGTAGGTTGTCAGCACGAATCGCTTTATTTTTATTATGAGAGCTTAAGCGTATTCAGTACAAACACATTTTTGTTACTACTGAAATTTGAAGAAATAATACGACAAAGTCATTCCAAAAAAAAATGAAAATAAAACGTGCTTCTAGATTCTACTGCTTTGAACACACAAACAGTAAACATCTCTGTACAGAACAGTAGAAGAGTAGACAAGAATTTTGAAACGAAAGAACTTTGTTGTTGGTTTTTTTTTTTGTTTTTTTTTTAAATGCTACTGTTAGATCTACCAAGTGTATTAAAGACATTAATACACGTCAGAGTAGGGCCGGAAGGTGATAATCGGCCCTGAATGAATAATGGCCCTCGGGCTAAAGCCCTCGGGTCCATTATTCATTTTGCGGGCCGATTATCACCTTCTGGCCCTCTCCTGCCGTGTATTAACCTCTTAATAATGCTATGTTTATATAACGCAAATGACGTCACTCGAAACATATGCACAGCCGTGCAATACCCTTTTTACGGAGCCCCAAAATCGGCACGGGTATGTATTGTCTCAGTCTTGCTAAGATATTTTAGATGCTAATCAAAAATACACTTATGTCTACTTTTTCAGTTAAAAATGATTAAAGCAAAGTAACAATATCTCATTATCTTGTTCATGTTGTTTCTTGTAGTTGTCTTTATCTTAACTCATGTCTCTTGTTTCATAACTGAGCTTGTATAATTTGCGGTTCTACGTTTATGTTATAGTATTGATATTAATATGTATATTGAATTATTCACATGTAAATATAATTTCATTAAGATCATAGGAAAGCTGATAATGTATAGTAATATATAAAGATTCGCATACGTAGTAAGGTACAAGATAACTATAGATGGTGGTTGAAAGTCATCTTTAAATTATGCACACGAATTCAAAATAATGCCTGTTGTTTGGATAAGTCATACCACGGAAAACTCGAAGTAATTTCATCAAAGCTGGACTAACTGATATTGACTTGCATTTCTAACACTTATTTTTGATAGGATTTGTTAAAAGATAGCTTGATGGATGTATGGATGGATGGACTTGGTTTGGTGGACACGCTATATTGCATTTACTACTACCTTTAATGGACAGGCTCAATCAAACCTAACCTGCAACAAGACTTGCCTTTTTAGGAGTCCGTTAGAAATTCTGTTTTTTTTTATATTAGGTAGTGTGTTTTTGGAATTGATTCTAACACCAAGATATTGTAAAACATTTTTTCAACTTTTAATTGCCATTTCGAAACATATATAATACATGTACATAATAACGCAAAATAAAGTTGCATTGCTTAATCCTTTACTCTGAGGGAAATTGAATTGTTATGTCCATCGGACATAAAATAAATTATTACATTCTCTTTGTACTTCTACTTTTTAAGATCTGTTATAAAGCTTAATTATTGTAGAATTCTATAAAGCCATTAACCTGACTTAGTCCTGCAAAACCACGCACAAATATCAGCAAAATGACACTTGTTCGTGCAGCAAATGGTGTAATAACAGTAGCAAAAGCACAAAAAAGCATACTCCATCCGAGCAACTGTTTCCCGCCATATTTTCCTGCCAACATGCCACCTGGCAATTGTGTTAGAATGTAACCGATATAAAATGATCCAAGTATCAGTACTTTAGTTCTTTCATTCCAATCAAACTTTTTGTCGTTCTTATATAAAAAGAAACGATTCAATGCAGCTAAATTTACAATGAAAATTTAAAATAAAAAGACTGATGGAGTCTTTCAATGAAGTCCAAATTTATGCAGGTTAAAATATATAAAGTTATGCATACAATCATAAAATACAGGATAAAAAATCCTTTCAAATTATTAATTGTATTGACAATTTTCTTTTCTTTTTCGCCAATGGACATTTAGTACACCCATTATAAAACACTAAGATTATTGCCCAGGATCAAAGAGATAAACATATTTGATTCATAATATTATTCTAAAAGTAAAAAGTAACCAAACCTCATCAATTTCGCCTTCTTTTAGGTTTTCTTGAGAAACATTTGCAGAATCAATATCACTTGAGTTACTGGTCATCACGTTCTGATCCTCGGTCATACAAACTATGGCAACACTCATGTTTACCCTCAAGGAGTACATATTCATGCATCCAAAAAATCCCATTATAATCAGAGAAAAACGACACGAGCACAAAAAACATCCTAAAATAGTTTGTTTTTGGTATAATCAGACTGATTTATTATTAGTCATGAACATGCAAGTAATTTTCATGTTACTCTGATTTGGTTCAATCTAATTTTCGAAATAAACATGACAAATTGTGTGAAAAATCAACTATCTATAATGCTTATGTCAATGTTCTTTCAATTTTGCAAGAAAACCATTGTCAAACTTCGATTCAATGACAGTATACTTTGAATAATAATGTAATATACGTAATCATTATTTAAATTTATATATATTAATATATTATTTATATTTAAATACATTATATGCGTATTTAGAGAAATACATTATTTCTTTAATTTTGTTTGGAAATATCCATTTAACAAATGTGATCTCGCTCATTTATTTATTTATGATAAAATTATTAATATTCAGTGGTTAGTGCAGTGCAAGACAGGGCCGGTCCACTAAATGATAACGAAGGAGTTATATACATCATACACGTATGAACCCGAATGTATCGGTAAATATCATCCTATATCGTGTTATATCATACTCGAACCCAGATCCACTCTCACGTTCTATCAACAGTTTCTTTTTTTTTTTCTTTCTTTTTTTTCTTTTGGAAGAAACCAATATGGCGGCTCTCATTTATGTTCATCATCTTAAAATCAGTTAAAAACGAAATAAAGCCGATAAATAGATAAAGAACAATCCAAATACCATGTTTAGTTCTTGCTTTGACAGTTTTCTGTTGCATTATTGTAGTTATTTTATTACTAATATTTTAGCTGATTGCTATAATTATTCCAACAGTTTTAAATCTGTATTGCCAAACCTAGAAAAAATTAAGCATGAGAAAGATCTCTTCTATGTTAAACTTGTCATTTGCAGGTCGGTCTTTATCTAAGCACCAAAAAAAACTTGGCAGATAAATAAAATGGAAACGGGAGAATTTTAAATTCTCTCTAATTTACAGCTGTCGAACATACTTAGACATGCAGAGAGCTATCGGCAATGATATTGCTTTTTTTTTAATCAACTATTTAGGCTATGTGGCGGTTACCTTGTATGATAAATAGATAGTTATCAAAAAGAATTTTATTACTTACACTAAAACGGTAATGCTTACATGTTGAACATATTTTAATCTTGACAAAACTGCTCATCGTTTATAAGGAAAATTTCAGTACATGTTCTGAGTGGAGATCAACTCACCATAAGCTCAGTTTATTTTATTTCAGACAAACAAAGCCACTGTTCAAAAAATGAAAGGATCAAATTAACGTAAATAGTTAACTATCATACTATATTGTATGATATATTTTTATCGTCTGTTTAGTATTCCCGTTACAAGTTTTAGATTCTTTCAAAGTATCGTTACTGGTATTGTATATACGGTCCTTGACTATAGATAGCAATGAAGTATTATTCAATCAAACTATTCTTGAAAGTATAAAAAAGCAGTATTCAACCATTAAACATGTAATGGTTTTTTTAATTTTTGAATTTATGTAATTTATGTAATTTTTGAATTTAGAAACATCCACAGATGTGTTCATACGGTGATTATCATGGAATCTTTAAAATGACCCTTTAGTGCCATTCCATGAAAGCGGCGTATGGCACCCAAGTAAAAAAATGACTGTACCCTGAACGAGAAAACAATGGAACTCGTCAAAATTCAACCACCATCCAAGTTCTTTTAATACAAGAATAGCATACCCTTTGACAAAAGTACATCTATCATTAATTTCGACACGGAAAAGTGAAAGTCATTGTTTGTAACATTTGATGTTTAAATTTACATAATAGGTCATAAAAATGGTCAAACTTATATTTCCTATAGTTTTAAGTTTGAAAAAAAGAGACATTTGGATTATTTTACAGAGTTGTGTCCTTTTAAAAAGTATTTACGTGTAGATATTGTAATAACAATACAGAACGGTGTAGGGTACCTTTACGTTAAATATTTTAAGCTGCAGTCAGCTATTTCAGTCACTTTTTTAGAAATTAAAAGCCAACATTATTGTTGTTTTAAGTCATGTATATATAATATATAGATTCTAAATGAATTTTCTTGTCTACAGTGAAATATAACGCTGGTTCAAGATTTTTTTTTGTATTCGCATGGGCAACTTTACATAGTCACTGTAGCAAGGGACGTCAAGTGGTGTAATATATTTGGAATATAAATACTAGTAGGTTTCGAATGAATCCTAAAAATCATTCAGGGAAATTTTACTAAAACATTGCAAGTACTAGAACATGAGATGTACTTGAGATGTGTACAGCGTCAATGACGTTTTTTCAATGACGTCATAGAAGACTGAACGTCAAGACGTCACTTGACGACGGCATTAACAAATTGATGCTGGTCACAAACAAAAGACAGCGAAAATATTCTTCACAGCCAAAAAATGGCTGAAAAGGTAGAGAAAAATTCATTATCGTCTGTTTTGGATGCCAAAAACATTCACCTAGTAAAAGTTGAAACGGTCGTCAAATTCAGAGACGAAAGCAATACGAAGAACGAAAGTGAAAAGGAAAGATTAGAAAGAATCTCGGAAATATACTTAGCAAAACTTGGAAACCGTGAAGATAGAAGAGAAAAGAACGAAGAGTTAAGGAAAAAAGATAAGATGTTGTCAAAAAGACAGCAAAAGAAAACAGCAAAGAAGAGCAGAAAAAGGAAAAAGGTCAGAATTTATTTTTAAATTGTAATATATCAGAAGGAATGTATTATGATCATTTGATAACTGATTTATAAAAAAAGTTTTGGAATGATTAGCAAACGAGTTAACAGGAATAATCTCTTGTATATAATATGAAAGAGAAGTTATAAGTAATTACTTTACTATTACACTTAAAGGCTACACCGCAATGATGAGTATAAACTTGAATTATTTTTGTATGCGCAGCATTCTCATAGTCGTTGCACGCCTAACAGGTCTGTCTTTTTCCCCGCTCTTCAGCGAGGCAAAATTTGTAAATGTGCATTAGGTTGTACTTTTTGTGATTTTTTTTTATTCTTAGCCTATTCATATAATAAAACAACTATTGACTTGTGAGCCATTGAATATTAAGAGGATATTTTTTCGTTTGAGTGAATATGGAATATATTTTCACGAAACATGAGAAAATGCCACATATTTTCACGAGCCGGGATGGCGAGTGAAAATATGAGGCATTTTATCATGTTGAGTGAAAATATATACCATATTTCACGAAAAAACGAAAAAATAACCTTTTTATTTAATTTCATTATCAAAGAAAAATGGTTATGAACCCCCTTGCCTGCTACGCAACTGCAATTATACAGCGCGCAGTAATATAAGTATCGTCTTGTTTTGCACGCGATATTTAGCGCTAGATTGTGACGTCACGTAAACAACTTTTTAAACGTCTGTACAGCGTTAATGACTGAATTAAAGATATTGGTGTTCGGATTTATTTTCTTAGTTAGACCATTTTCTATCATTCTAGATAGTTTTCAAAACAAAATTCAACAAAAAAGTTGTTTGTATTTATCAGATTTTCTAAACAAAATGGCGAAAGAAGTCCCTTAAAATAAATATGAGTTTTGACTCCGCCCACTTTCATATTTATATTTCATATTTATTTTTTAAAAAATATGAAATATATTTGACTGATATAGCACCATATTTCATAGGTAAAATTAAATAAGATGTGATATTCACCGGCAGAAAGTCATATTGACTGAGGCCATAGCCGATGTCATCTGCCGGTGAATATCACATCATATTCAATGGCTCACTAGTCAATAGTTCTATAATATTCGTTATAAACCAGTGTTTATCCAGTGACCTTTACGAAAATTAATGAAGTGCCAGGTCAATATTGTTGGACAATAATGTACTTATTTGTTTACATTTTGCTACTTTTATGACAAAATAATCCACATTCAGCGCTACTTTCTTCGTGTAACTACTTTGTAACATGCTTTGAAACAAATTTTTAGACATTATAAAAATTACGTTTGCCCTCTGTATAGAGAAGGAACAAAATATTTGTTTCTGACGCATAATGTGCCTCTTATTAATCATTTAGTGGTATTGCTCACATATATGAAAAACAACCCATTTTGCAGATGTTGCAAAATTACGGCAGTTGCATTTCATTTTGTCTTCATATCAACATCTGATGATATCTATTTCAGGCTGAGAAAAAGCAGAGAGCCAATAAAGAAGTCTCTCAGAATGATGATCACGATGTCCATAAGCCATATGAAGCTTTCCTTGAAATCGAAGTTGCAGACGACAAAAAAGAACGCGGAAAGTTCCCAAGCTGCTTTGGATTTATCATGGCATGGTTTGAGAAAAGGAAAGAGAAAAGGCTTTTGAAGAAAATCGATGAAGATCCACACAAGTTGTGTGTAAGTTCTAGTGACATTTTGATTGAGATACCAAATGCGCCACGTGCTAATGTTGCAGACATCTTGACCGGAAATGGACTAAAAGAAGACGTCTTGGAAATTGATGACGTCGAAATAATTTCTTATTAGATTTTGTGCTGATGGACAAAAACCACACGACAAGTAGGCTTATTTTTTAAATTTTTGTTGGTCACGTGAAAGAATTATATAGAATTTGACATTTTTAGAACACAGTTTGACCATTTTTTAAAGATTTATCTAATATTTAAATGTATATTTTTTTTTTTGTAAAAAATCAAATTACACAATTTTTATAGACAATGATACTTATAAACAGAATTAAACTTCCATTATTTTTTCTCAATCTGCGTAATTCACTCTTAAAAACATGACAATGATACTAGCTACCACCTGGTAATAATTATCTTCACTATTTCAGTGAATGAATATTCTTATATCTCATTCTTGTATCGATATGATGCAATGAAAATTGTTAATTAATACAAACGAATGAATTTAACATGCTAAATAAATAAAGGAAAATATAATTCAACATTTTCAACAACGACATTCTATTCTGAGTAAATAATATATAAATAAGAATTGATTTAATTTACAAGGTAACCGTTACATTTGTTTTGTAACACCAGTTTTAAAAACGTTCCATTGTTTTAACTAATGGAACACATTTTTAGATATTTTTGCCGTACAATTTTCTATGATAAGCGGTATGACATTTTTTTTATTATACGATTTTCGATGTTAGCAACTATTTTAGCAAGTCATTTTTTTTTATTTTTCATTTTTCTTTGTCATTTTTTAGAAACCTTTAAAAGACATTGATCACGTGACCAGCCGTTTACTTGATTGTGTGGTGGAATTTTGTCAGTACCTTTTGCAATAAGAATGAAATTATCATCTAAAAAGATAGAAATATATAAAGTTTGAAAGTTTACATTAAAGAGAAGAAAGTATACATTAAAGAGAAAAAACTTCTGTATTTTATTTGTTGTTTTTCACATGAATTATAACTCCATCTATAGATATATTTCACGAATAAAGCTGGAAAAAATCAACCTTTTACCTTAATATGTATGGAACATTTTGCATTATATTATATAATGGTTACACGTCGCAGACGACATATAAAGAAACTATATTAAATGTGTTGGCCTTTTATAAGGTTATAATATAGTCCTACCATTATCAACGTCTGAAAGGCTGAAAGCTTATCCGAACATAATGTTTACAATCGTAAAACACCTACGCACGCACGCACGTTCTCACGGCGCGCGCGTGCACACACACACACATACACACACAAGAAAAAAATCAATGTTAACAATAGAAGGCAAGAAGAAATTACATACATATAATAATTAATACTCAGCCTTGGTAATCCTGATTTCCTGATTTAACCCTTATTTAGTATTTCCTTAGAGCAAAGTTACATGCAATAGTAATTACGCGTTTTGCCTTCACGTGAAGGACAGTCTTTTTATGTATGAAACGTAAAGTAGGGAAAATTCGATTTCATAAAAATCAAAGATAAAATAAGATAAGTGGAAAGATAATTAATCCAGCCACATAGATATTTTATCATACGCTGTTCCACCAAACGTAGCGGAGAGGGTGATTAGTGACTTCCATATGTTTATTTAACATCAACACATTTCAATTTGATATTTTTAATCTAAAGGCAATTTAGACAAGTCGTATGGAAACATTTCCCATTGGAAATCAAAGGGCTGCAAGCTCTGTTGTATTTTCTGATCTTTGCAATCTAAATCATACTGACTATCTGTATGTATTTTCCTGTATAAGTTTATTTTTATATACTATAATTCATCTTACGCAGCGACTGCGTTTAGATTTTTTTCTATAACAGGTTGAGATTGATACATATGGAATTTTGCATGACTAGAACTGCATCAAAAAATCATTTTTCATTTTTTATGACAGCCACACTTTATCCTTGCATATCGTGGCTACTCCCTTAAAAAGACACTTCAAAAAAAAAGTTGCCTCGACTAGGATATGAACCTTAGGCCTCTCACACCCAATACGAGCGCGCTACCTTTGCACCACGGTGAAGTCATACCTATGTAGCTTGAATAAAAACAAATACATTGTAATTCTAAATTTCCATTTCGTGTTTGTTATTCTTATTAATTTCAAGGTATTTTGTTCACGATAAACCTGTTGTTTAACACTGATGAAAATAATTCAGCGAAAATCTTCTCGCCAAAACAGTCCGACATGTATATATTCCACTACTCGACAGTCAGATTTATTTGTGTACTACGCTCTGGAGTATTCGATTATCGACATAGCTAAAAATAGCATTTTCATTGATTAAGCTTTACGGAAACAGCCGAACATTTTTCATTGGGTAAAAAAGATATTTATCCGCGAAATTTGCGATTGTAACCTCATATTTCTATTGACTAATCTAAACTTTTAATGCACTGTAATTCGTTAAATGCCTGCATTAAAAATTATTCTTTCTTTTAAATTGCTGGTTTTTAAGCAGTTTTGAGTGAGAACTACTTTGCGTTGTTAGGTCTGTTTTGTGTTAGACCGTGGATGTTAGCTTTGTATTTACTGATCTTGCGATCAGCAAATACAAAAACGCATTAACAAGGAAAAGAACATAATCATTCATAAAAATGACGGACAATTTATCACATTGGTAAATCAAAATTAATATCCATCTGTTAAATGCATGACAATACTTATAATTGATATTTGATAATATTTAATGCACCTTTTCTTAGTGAAGAAAATCAGTGTTAGTAGTGATAATAAATGATAGTTCCGGGATAAAAACACAGTATTTTAAGCTATTTATTATTTTGTTATAATCTTCAGGTAATAAATTGAAATTTCATCAACAGAGATAAAAGTAATTGAAGACTCCACATCATCGTCATGCAATGCGCTGGTTCCTTTTCCTTATATTTTTTTCTCAGGATTTTATCACATACTTACCCCGTGTATGGAAAATACTGTTAAGGACAGAATAATTGGTCTCAATACTTTAAGTACAAGAACTTTGTAAACTTTGCTGGGATTAACCTGAAGACAGTACTGCAGTAGTAAAATTTCCCTATGGCAGTCTTGATCCAGGTGAGCGGAAACAAATATAAGCCAACATTAATATTCTAGAATATTTAGGGATTTGGCGGCCATCTTTGACGCCATCTTGGATTTCTAGGCTTTGCATCGGACTTGAGTCAAATGAATATCGATTCCGGAAACTACAGACCTAGACGAACACAACAATTTGGTATATAAAACTTGCTGTTGGCTGACATATACCACTTCGATGTCATTTTACCCTATGGATTTGCAGCACTATAAAGCGTTCTTTGTAATGACGTAAGGATTTATAAATTTAAGAAATTGTGGATGATCTTCTTGGCGTTTGGGCCCCCTCCCGGGGCTCTGTACTGCCCCTTTAAAGGGGCCTTGGCGGCCCCAAGTATTCCTAATTTTAATCCAACTATTTTTTTGGCTACGTCTAAACCTTTAGAATCTTCCTAAGGGTTTTAAATGAAACCTTTTCACCCCTTCAAATTTAAAATTTGCATTTTAGATCTACCACTGTCTTCCTTCTTTCTAAATATTTCACCATTCCTGGTGAGCTCGGCCTTTTGAATTAATTTTCAAGGAGGTTATGTTGGTCTACTAAATAGATTTAATAAACAAACGGTATTCGACGTTTAATTTCAATAAAACAAACCGTTAATAAAGACCTCTCTTGATTAAAATTTAAAGACTGATCTGATTACAACGACTCTTTGATCAAAATTAAATTTAAATTTCCCAAAATTTTCTACACAAAACGAGCATTTGAAGTAAAAACCACCGAAACGTTCCGTGAGCTAGCGGGAAGCTTTAAAGAAAGAATCCAAAAATACTTTTGTCGGGATTCAAACCCCGCGGTGTGAAAAAAAAATTTTGAATAAAGGGCCCTTTTATTTAAAAAAAAGGTTTTGGGGGCACCCAGTCCTTCCTCCATCAGTAAGCTTCGAAAACGCAAAATAACCATGATTTAATTATCGGTGTGAATTAAAATCCAACAAAGCAAAAACAAAAAGAAACTATAATTTTATTTTGGACATAAATGAAATATTAAGCCAAAAATACACATAACTACAACTGCCAAAGTAAATAACCGGAGAATGTGGAATAGTGCTCACCACCAATAGTAACATGTGCCGAATCTTTTACTTGTATCCACACCTGCGAGCCTTTCTTCAAGTTAACTAGTATAGTATTTGCACCTTGGTCCCGATGAGTTCCCGATTCGGAATAAGCAAACACGTTAGCCATTTTCATTCCGTCGACAATTATAGATGCGTGAAGCATTGGATTGGAGTTCATGTCATGGTCGGCCAGCAAGGAGCAACTGATCATGTAGACACCCGGCTGAGGTGCTGTGTATATGCCTGTAGAGTTATCATACCCAGAACCTAGATCTGTGACTCTTGTTGGAAATACTATTGCCTTATCTCGCACGACATCTGTTGCCTTAGGTATTAGCTTGTAAGTAAATGCTACAGGTCCTTCGTAAGATTGTCTTCGCGAAGGAGACTTGCAATCCCTCACTGATGAAAAAAAAACATATGTAAGAAAGATTCTACAAGTTTCTATTTAATTTTTATGAATGAAATAAATGTTTAATAAATTAAATGTATCAAAATATTTTTATGTGACGTCATTTATAAATAAGCGACAGGAAAGATAAAATGCCTAAAAGTTGATGAAAACCAAAGGGATCGTTGTTAATGTCAACAATTGTGACAAAATCAGTAAGAGTGGTTGTATACAATTAATCAATTTGTTAAGTGAAACAAAAATTGTAAAAACAAATTACTATGAACCACTTAATACAAAATAAGCTTAATCGAGATTTATTGCAAGAATCAGATATCTGGAAGCATTTAATTCATAAGGTATTTTAGCGAGCGTATTAAAAGTTGTTCAATATCTATTAAAGGAGGAGGAAGGATATATTTTGTTTTATGTTATATTATTCTATATGATGGCCTAAATATTTCTGCTGTAACTTACCCGTTTGTACTAGATCTTCAAGTTTCTTTTCCAAACGTTTGACAGTAGCTGCAAGAAGTTCATTCTGATCAGCAAGTTCTTGTATTGTCACACAGATAGTTCCAGATAGGGAAACTACAACTAACAATATCAGAAGTAACGATTTCATAATTTTATATGAAGACACATATGATATATGTTAGAAATTTGTGTCATTATTTTCCTTATCTTATCAGCAAAAGTAGAACACGATAGTGAACATCTGAAAGAGTGCAATAAACACTTAGAAGCATACAAACTGCTCCCGGAAGTATAGATTGATATGCATGCAGTAATCGTTATTAAAATTGACACTTCAGTATATTCTTGGATTATATAACGATAATTACATCATCCGCAGAAATATTGAATTAATCGAAACAATTTGGTCATTTCAAATTTGTAATAGTTTGTCAATCGCAGTAAATAGACCAAAATGTATGCATTGTTCTGGGTCATATAGACATTTATGACATTATGACAGCCTATCATTACGCGGAGTAACTTGATAATGTCGCCTTTTTCAGCATTGTTCAATGGGAATACTAAAGTATTTCAAAATGAAAGAAAAGTATTCATTATTACAGCAACACACCTATTGTCTTAATGCACAGTTGGAACAAAACAACAAAAGGTCAGTAAACGGTTCGACTCACAGTGGTTGAAATCTTATTTATTAATTAATCTACGACATAATTGTTGTGTTTAAAACAATTTTCGTTTCTTCAATTATATACATGTATGATATTTTGATTAAGTGGTTTTATAATTTCTACACAATAATGTAAAATCATCCTTAGGATGTGTTGCCTACTTTTTAAATGTATTTTATGTCTGCCTGTGATATGCAGGCTTCATGACCTCTGATCGAATTTCAAGCCTTCATTTTACATTGTTCTGCATGTCGTTTTTTCGTTTAGGGCAAACACATTATTTTATTCCAGACGCCATTTTTCATTGAATGACACGAACATGTAACATTAACCAATGAATGTATGACTGTTATACAACTGATAAATTATTCAGTTTTGTAATTATTTCCATATCGAAAGCGATTTCTGCGAATTTATCAAGACCTTTGTATGTACCGACGAGCTGGGGATCAAGGTCTCCATGTGTTCAATGTAACTTGCTAAATATACATGTATATTGCTTCTATCTACCCAACCCTACACCACCCCGATAAAAACACTTTTTCTTAGTAAGTGATCAAAATAGAAAATCATGATCCGGGGAGCGTATGTGTTTTACAAACACTAGTAACTCCTTTCAAGCCTGCTCGACTGTTTTAAGATAATAATTAACATGTTAACATTTCAAAAATACTTGTGTATGAATTTTCTATGCGTTATCTGTACATATAATGTAAGGTACAAGGTTAGAACCAGATATTTGTTTGTGCCAACGCTCTATTAAGCGAGGGACAAATTTTGAAGACATTGGCCCTAGCGCATAGAACATAATAAGTTTTGACACAATTTATAAATGTAAGAAAATGAATATTTACTTTAATGACGTCTGAACCATTTTGTGTGATTATCAGCCAAATTTGAGAGCAAAGCATTACAGGGCTTTTATTCTTGGGGTGATTTTGCGTACATTAAAATCATTATTTTGGAAAAACGAGATAAGGAAATGACCTAAAAAATCTGCACACGACATTGTTCTAGACCTACATTAAATGGTAAACAAATCTCGGGTAAATATTTCCAGTCTTGTCATGTACAGTGGAATCCCTTGAAGGTCATAGGACAATGTTTTAGCTTTGTCTCTGGAAGGTTTTAGTTTTATATTAAAGGGACACCACTGAGGTTTAAAAGCCTAAAAACATAACATTAGAATTTCTTACATAAATGAACTGGGGCGCTTTAAACAGAAATATATGCAAAGATAGTTTATCGAAAATCGTAGTTTTATGCTTTTCTTAGCCTAATTTGAGTGAAAAGCGTTTAAACGCTTTTCATTTTGGGTCATTTCTTTACAATTTGAATAATTATTATGGAACTAGAACTCCGCGAGTCGGATGTGTCGCCTTGTGAACAATATAGTTTAGGAGAAATGGCCAGGACAAAAATGAAATACGAAAACTAACAAAGGGCAATAACTAAAAAAATAATAAGTGCAGAGCAGCAGTTTCTATGCACTGCACCACTTCTTATCAATAAGATCTATCATTCTATGAAGTTTCAAGTCCATATCTTTTATAATTTATGAGAAATGGCCTGGTCAAAAATAAAGTATGAAAATATATAAAGGGTGAAAACTCAAAAAACAGAAATGCAGAGTACCGGTCCTTGTACACTGCAATTATTTTTAATGAGATCTATCATCCTATGAAGTTTCATGTGTATAGCTTTCATACTTGAGGAGAAATGACCTGGACAAAAATAAAGTATGAAAATTAACAAAGGGCCATAACTCAAAAAATAAGAAATGCAGAGTTCTTGCTCTTGTGCACTGCACTTCTTCTTAATGAGATCTATCATCCTATGAAGTTTCAAGTCCATAGCTTTTATACATTAGTAGAAATGGCCCGGACAAAAATAAAGTATGAAAATTAACAAAGGGAAATAACTCAAAAATTAGGAAGTGCAGAGTACCAATTCTTGTGCACTGCACTTCTTCTTAATGAGATCTAACATTGTATGAAGTTTGAAGTCCATAGCTTTTATAGTTGAAGAGAAATGGCCCGGACAAAATTAAAGTATGAAAATTTACAAAGGGCAATAACTCAAAAATTAAGAAGTGCAGAGTATCGGTCCTTGTGCACTGCACTTCGTGTTATTGAAAGAAGCATGCATACCAAGTTTGAAGTCAATCCAACTTAAAGTGACTGAGTTATGCTCCGGACAAGCTTTAGGGGACGCCGACACCGCCGACAAAAGTAATCCCTATATGTCACCTTTTCAAGGCGACACAAAAACGAAGTGCGCGAATGATCTGAAAGTTTGCACAAGGATTCGTGGTCTACACCTACATCAAATGGTACATTTATCTGGAAAAAAATATTTTCAGTCCCATCATGTCAAAAAACCTCAGTAGAGTCCCTTTAAGTCACCAGTAGACACTTTGTCTGAACCAGAGACTTCCAACGAGCTAGTGGACTATTCTCTAAAGCATTATAGTCAGCATTGTTCAATAACGTCAATAATCATTGACTGATAATTGACTATCGTGTAATATTTGGGTTAAACATTTACACACTCATAATCCGACATTACAACAATAAAAGAAACAAAAATTTGTCTTCAATGAACATTTAATGTTTTATATATAAACTTACATCCAGCGTGAATGATACAAGTGAGAAGATGATTGCCAAAATGCTCTCCTACATACTAATGTATACCTTATGAAAACAAGTGTATGTCTGGAAAATTTCAGTGATCTATCTACTGAATGGTATGACTAGACCAAAAACTGATTAATGATGATGATGATAATGATGATGTATTCTTTAGAAATATAGCACAAAATGTCTTTCAAGCTTGGTCTATACATTGTGAGTGCCAACTTCATTTTGAAATCACTTTTTTTTTTTAAAGAAATATTCTTCAAATTTATTCTTTTGAGTTTACATGCAAGTTACACATTACCAGATCTTTTTACTTTTTTTGAAAGAGAAAAAAAAAAAAAATTTAAATTTTCTAACAACAATGACTATAAATCTACAAAAAAAATATCTTCCAGACAATAAAACACAAATAAATTATCCAAATAAATTATCCAAAGAATAAAACCTTTGTTAAAGAATTTAAATACCAAATTACATAATGATGCAAGTTATCATTAAAGGGGCCTTCAGCTTTTCTAAAGGTTAAATATGTAAAGATAAATTGTTTCATATTATTGTCAAGTTAAAAGAATTAAGGTATAAAATGAAATTTGCCATTGATAAATACATAAACAATAAGGAAACCCCTTGATACCTCTGATCTATCGGTCCCTCTTTATATGTAAATTAGTAAAATGAACAATTCATTTCCCAAACATCTATTTTTAGAAACAACGTCACTGTGCGCTGTAAATATTGCCCGGGGAACTGTTTTGAAAAAGGCTTAACAGTGATATGATGCACTTTTCCTCGGTAATATTACTGAAATACTTAGTTTTAAACAGTACAAAATTCTTTTTCCAACATAAAATAAAAGCTGACGGCTACTTTAAAATAACATCGCAAAAAGAACATAGAAAGAGAATGTGCGTATTTACAAAAATATATTATATAATGTAAACCATATTTTGCCTCATGTTATACATTATGAGGAAACAATGTTTGAACATGATTAACAACTGATGCTTTGCCGAAAAAAAAAAAAACTACAACCAATTCAACTAGATAACACATAAACTATTCTCATCACATACACATCCCATTTTTGTGACTCCGCAAAAATGGTATCGCACAACCGTGTATATATTTTGACGCAATGTCTTTTGCGTAAATATAAACATAGCGATAAGACGCGCTAAATATTGGCATTTAACTATAGGTGCCCCTTTTTTTCACTTCAAACGGTCCATGTTTTGTGTATGTGATAAACAGAATTTTAACTTTATGTCAGTTCATTACTGAATTTATTGAACTCCTTGAATAAAATATAATGCCCCCCAGAGGTTCTCATAATATATTTTTATTCTTTTTGGATTGGGTTTTACGTCACATCGACACAGTATAGGTCATATGATGACGTTCCAGCTTTACTGGTGAGGAAGACCTCAGGTGCCCTTCCGTGCTTTATTTCAAGCACGAACGGGCACCTGAGTTGAACCACCGACGTTCCGTAAACTAGCTGGATAGCTTCCTCACATGAAATAATCCAAAGTCCCTGTCGGGATTGGAACCCACAGCGTTGAGAGACAAGTGGTTTGAAGTCAAACAAACTTAACCACTCGGCCACGGACACCCCATATATTTTTATTCAACTTGTTCAATAAATACAGTATTTAACTTACACTCACTCAATATCCTTTTTTTATAACATAAAATATTCATTTGTGTTAAAAAAAACCACCATTATCCATTAACCAAGAGATTCTCATACTTATAAATGTGTTTTTAAACAACACTTTATTCTTTTCCTATTAAACCCCTTGGGGTGCTAAACTGCTAGGCTAGTAGTCATCAAAATTGAAATTACATAAACCATACTTTTATGATCCTAACATTTACTGTGCAATATCATTGAACTTTCGTCCCCTTACTCGATAAACATCTGATTTCTGAAGAAAATATTGCTATGAATTAAAAAGTACTGCAAATCAACACCTTAAGTTGTACATGTGTATCACAAACGAACAACTGTAATATTTTAACTATTTAACTTAAATAAATCATTTAAACAAAAAACCCTTTCTAAATTATATAGTTATTCAGTATATGAAATGTCACAGCCAACACATGACAGTCAATCAGTATGTGGAATGTCACATCCAGCACATGACATTTTTATATCAGTATGTTGAATGTCATTACAGTCTACAGTATATGATATGTCATATTTAGCACATGACATTCTATCACAATGAGAAATGTCATTTTCATCACATAACAGTCTACAGTATGTGAAATGTCATATTTATCACATAACAGTCTACAGTATGTAAAATGTCATATTTAGCACATAACAGTCTACAGTATGTGAAAAGATATATTCAACACATGGCATTATATCAGTATGTGGAATGTCACATTCAACACATGACAGTTTATATATTGACAGTAAATGTGACGGGTTTAGAAGGGCCAGAAGATCCTGTTTTAAATAAGGCTTTATGTAGTGTAGTCACATCCACTTCTTTCTTATCTGGCACTTTTCCCTTGCTAACTCCAGGTTTACTGAACCTGCAATGTAAAAAAAAACAGTTAAATATTTTCTTCATAAAGAAACTAAAACAAATATTGTTTAAACTAAACTTACAAGGTTGGTAAACATTCTATATCGGGAATATAAACATTTTGCAGCAGTAAACTCCTATCAGTACAGAAGCCTAGCATTACATAGTAACTGTGAGGCCAGGATGTAAAATTTAGAAGCTTTATACAGACATATTTCCCCCCTAAAAATGGTTGCTTAAATGACTAATTTATGACTAATTTTTCATAATTTGTAAATGGCCATTCATCAGTCATTACACATACTTTTATTTTACTTTGATATTTGAATCTTTAAACTTTGAATGAACAGTTTCTGATTCAAAACATGGCAAATGCATTTCATAAATTCACCAGGGAAATGGTTCAGACATTTACTGCTTCACTATGAAAAAGTCTTCACAAGAGGGCCATGACGGCCCTAAATCGCTCACCTGAGTCAGAATACTTGTTAATTTGGGTTTTTTTGGGTTTTTTTAAATTTTGTCTTTACTATATGCATAAAAAGAAAATCAAAGACCCCTGGGCAGGGCCAAATTTGACCCCAGGGCTATTATTTGAACAAACTTAGTAGACACCCACTAGAAGGTATTTCATGCTTAATATCTAACCCCTGGCTATTTGAGTTTTTTAAAAGAAGATTTTTTAGTTTTTACTATATACATATAAGGAAAATCAATAACCCCCTGGGGGTGGGGCCAATTTGACTATTTGAACAAACTTGGTAGACACTCACTAGAAGATGTTTCATGCTTAATATCTAAGCTTTTTGGGGTTTTTAAAAGAAGCCTTTTATAAACATACAAGGAAAATCAATGACCCCTATGACTGGGCCAATTTTGACCCCAGGGCTTTTATTTACTCACTTTTTATCACAGGAAGATGTTTCATGCCAAATATCTAAGCTCTAGCTCTTTGCGTTTCTTCAAAGAAGATATTTTAAGTTTTTTCTTTCAGTTGCCATGGCAACCAGAGTTTTGCATGGAATTAAATTCTTTGAACAATTTTTAATTTTTAAAGGTCACCTTTAAAACTACCAAATGAATATTCCTGTGAAGTTTGGATGAAATTGGCTTTACGGCTAATGAGGAGATGTCATTTGTTAAAGTTTACGGATGAACGACAGACGAAAAACTATCACAAAAGCTCACCATGTCACTTTGTGTTAGGTGAGCTAAAAAGTACGAGGATCGTTTGGAAAATACACAATCAAGAAAACTCACCTTAGAGGTGATGAAGCAGCTGGTTTCACAGATGCTGGCAGTTTTTCTGGCGCTTCCTTTATTCTTGCAGACACTGGGGTAACCAACTTCACTACCATCGGAAGACCTAAATACAAATTTGTTTGTCTCTTTTTACATAGACTTTAACACATATTTTATCATATCTTGACAGTCAGTCCACGTAACCAGCATTCCTGAATAAGTAACCAATTTCTTCTATGCAAGTGAACATCATATTTAGTACAACAAAGTACTTTTCATTTCTTTAGTTTAATGTTTGAAAGAATCATCTATAGTTTATACAGAACTTATTTTAGTCTGTGTAGAAAGCTAAAAACTTAAGACTAATTGCAAAGCTGTTCCTAGAACCAAACAGTACTGAGCATAAGTTTAAAGTTTCTTGCTCGGCTTGCCAATTATGGGATATGAACCCATGAGCCTAGCGACCCTTACATTACTGGTCTGACACATTTAACCAATCGACTATGCTGTCACTTATAGATATCAATCTTGGACATCATATTTTCAATTCATGATGCTTTATTAGATTAATAAAGGAATAAAATTATAATACAAAAGAAGCACTTATCAATATTACCATCTAATTCTCTGTCATGATAACTTTTAGCAGCCTGTACAGCGCCATCTTTCTTCACGTAAACAACTTCAGCTGTTCCCAACTTCAACATCTTCACACTCTTTACTGCTCCTATTGCACCAAACAATTCCTGAAAAATAACAAACACTACAATATCTAAGTCAAACACATAATCAAAATTAAATTCCTCCGATACTTAAATAATGTTTGCAATAAAATCGTTTCAAGTTCATTCTTTTTGAACTCCCTATCCACAGGGCTTTTTTTTCTTTCTATAGCAGTGGCCATTTAAAGGTGGCTTCCCCAAAGAAAAATTAAAATCATGCAGTAAATTAAATTAACATCCAGTTTTTTCTTCCCCTTAACAAAATACAAATATTTTTTCTGCAAAATAAGAAGGGCTGCTTCCTTAGCTTGTGAAAAAAGCCCTGATCCAAGTTTCATTTTTCTAATCAACTGGGGAAAATAGCAATTAACTGATATTCATAGTAAACAGTGCAGAACAGATGGCACCGATTTACAAGCTGACACAGTTGTCACAAGTTAGAGGTCGATAAGTGGTACTATAATTAATGACTGTACTGAACAAGTTTAATGGACATGCTTGTGAAATAAATTTGAGACAATTCAGTGAGCCACTGGTTATAAACATATAACGAGCCATTGGTAATATATATATAAACTTGCAATATGCTAGCCATTGGTTATAAATACATGTAATTTTTTATATAAACTTGCAATATTTGAGTCATTGGTTATAAACATATAACTTGCAATATGTGAGCCACTGGTAATAAACAAATAATGAAACTTGTAAAGTACGCCATTAGTTATACTTACAATGATATCATCTTGAGTTACAGAGTGTGCAAGATTTGTTATTGCAATTTTAAAGCCTTGTAAAGGACTGATCACATTTTCTTCATCCTGTCAATATAAAATTAATAAATAAAGAAGAATTTTAAATTTTTAGAAATACTTGTACTAGCCACCTTTTTGAACTATCTAGAAATACAAATTCCAATGTACAGGTATATCTTTTAACAATTTAATAACATCTACTAGAAATAAGCAAGAATTTGTTGTCAATATGCATGAAAACATTTTTGTAAAGTCATATGGCTAGCCTTATTCTAAACAAGAACTATCCAAGTACCAGCACACTCTACTTCTCTCAGACTGCACATTTTCACATAATAAGATAATCCATTTACCATGACCCTTTAAACTGAAAACTGGGCTTATTAAGTTTCCTAGGTCAATCCACTTTGATTAAATTGCCAGTATTATGTTTGGTTATTACAGGCTCCAGTGAATTGGGACTTTTCGACTTGAACTATGGACGTGGCAGGTAGAAATCACCAAACTGCATCTTTATTAGAAGTTACTCGGTCAATTCACTTTGTTTTAATGGTTAATTTTAAGTTTAATTCCTCTCCAATACTCATAGCTTACCCTTATCCTTCTGTCCATATAAGCTAAATAAGATAAATTCATTAAACCATTTTCAACTTACTTCTTCTTTCGACTTCTTTGCTGTTGGTTCCCCTGGTGCAGTTATTTTTGAGAATTTTGGCTTTTCAGACCTTGCAGACTCTGAACTTCCAGTTGTATGAATAATAGGAACATAGTTTTTGCTTGACAACCTCAGTGGACCGGATGATGAGGACTGTCCAACTAGCTCTCCTGTTGACCTCCTTTTTAAAGGTAATGTTTGTGACACAGTCTGCTGTGGAGGCTGAACATCATTTACAATTGTTCTTTGGAATACTGTCGAGTTGGCATCATGAGTCAGCCCTGACTGTGGTCGTGGGTAGGTCTCCTGTGGGGTGGGTTCATAAGTAACTGGCTGTTGTGCTGGAGGATACATATACTGTTGTTGGGGAGAGGCATATTGTTGCACTGGCGGAGCATATGGCTGAGGGGGCGGGGCATAATGCTGTTGAGTGGGAGCTGCATACTGAGGATACGGAGGCTCCAGGGGTCTGTATTGGTCGTTCTGTACTTGTATTTTGGGTATCACAGTAGAATGATGGCCCATTGGATACTGAAAAATAAAGTTATATTTTATTCCCATGGTAATTTTTTTGTAAACTAACACTGATAAAATAAAATCTTAAAAAATCTACAAATTTGTGGCTCATAAAGACAAAAAGCCATTTTGTTCAATGTCAAAGAATGATTTCAAAAGAACTGTTGCAAGCTACATATTATTTGAACATATTCAGAAATAATAATAAATATTAACTGTGCAATTGTTCAGATTCAAACCTACCTGATGACCAGCTGGTATTGGATCATTCACCGGATATGGTGGCCCTTGTGCTGGAGGTGCCTGTTGAACAGGGACAGGCTGTGAAGATGAAGGGTACGGGGGCTGACTTTGATGAGAAGGGTACGGATAAGGAGCAGTCTGGGTGGGTGGTGGCATATGTTGGGGTGGAGGAGCACTTTGATATACTGTATTAAACTCATGAGGATTACTAGGAGGTGGCACATAAGATAAAGGTTCCTGTGCACTGCCAGGATGGATTTCATATGATAAAGGAGCAGGTGTAGACTGGGGGAAATTTGTGTGTTGCTGGTGTTGACCATGTTCTATGTTACGAGTGTTAGATATGGTCCTTGTTATATTGGCTATGTTAGTATTTGAGCCAGTAGGTGGTCCCAATCTTCTAGAAGTATCAGCTGCAGAAGAGCCACCAAGTTTTATTCTAGTATTAGTGCCTGATGAAGGACCAAGTCGGTTTTTCACAGTGGATGTTCCTATCGGAGTAACTGCCTTGTTTGTAGCATTTGTAGATGGTCCAATAATATGCTCATAACCAGGTGGCATGACTTTAGTCAACTGTGGAAGAGGAAATGTTTGAAATCAGTTGAATGAGAAGCCATCTTACAGCCTTACAGATATATCAATTATAATTTATGTCTATTGGCACATTTTTAGATTAATCATTTGTTAAAAAGTCCATTATGCCCCAGAAATACTTTTATCTTCATTTCTCAAAAGCTCTTTATTTGTAGTGTCCTGTTTTAGTTTCCAAACAGTTACTCATTTACAAAATACCTGATCCAACTTTTGCTTCGGTTGCCTTTTGGCAACTAGTTTTATATTTTGTGTGGAAGTCAAAATACTACTTTGTTTACATTTTACTACTTTTACAACAAATAATGTCACATTCAGCGCCTAACATGCTCATAAACCATTATTTAAATGTTATAAAACTGATGTTTGCCTTTTCTGATTAAGAGACATTTATTTGTTTCCGAGGCATAATGTGCCTTTAAAAGTCAACAATTTTTTTTTATAATCTACATGTATCACATTTGTAAGAGAAATATGATTGGTAAAATATATATCTATGTGAAAATTTATTAAATTGAAGAAGTAATTATATTTCAGAAAACATTAAAATACATACTTTAATACTTTTAACAGCTGATTAAAAAAATTATATGCTATCCATATACTGACTAGTCACACCACCTAGGTTGCTAAGAATATTTTGGACATGAAAACACTGCTAGTTTTTAACATCTCACTGGGCTGTTAACTCAATACCAGTAAAAGTTTTGTTTTTAATTTTCTGCGATATATAGCAAAATAATACACAAAATAATTGCAAGAACAAAGCTTACTGTTTTGGTAATGTTGATATTTCCCTTAGGTCCAGGCGTTAACTGAATGTTGTTGTTAGTATTATTTGAAACCTGTGTAAAAAGAAAACAGAATAAATTATTAAATAACTAGAATAAGAACTTACTTGCTGATCCAGCACAAAAGATAAAACTTATTTCCCTAAACTACCTTCATGTAGGCAAGAATGATAAATCTATCACCTGATAAATATTCTAAATTTAAGAATTTGACCAACTTCAATTTTGAAAAAGTTTTTTTTATTTATCAATTTTAAAGACATAACAATGAAAATCTGACAGTTAACAAAAAGCATGGTTTGACTACAATACATGGAAGTGCAGGCTGGCCCGGCTCTATAATGGTTGTAAAAGCTGTGCAGTCTGTTTGAGAATACCTGCTACTAATGACATGTAATTACTTATCAGTCTATTCAATGCCTTTTTACCTTACAATTCAGCTAAGCCATAAGCCCATATACATACATGCGTACTGAAATATATATATATAATATCAGTTGCAATCTTAATGAAAAAGGACTATGATAAAAACTAAACCTCTCTTAAAAGACAGTCACATGAACAGCTGACCATAAAGTAAATACATTTAGAAAGTTTAAACTTGTTGACCAGAAACTTACTGTTCTTGTCAGAGTAAATGGGCCACTTTGTGTCTGTGGTTGATTAACTTGTTGCTGTTTCTTTGCCTGTATCTTTGCACGTGCATCTTGAGGCTCCTTCTGGGATCTGATTGTCATCAATTTCTGTCTTGCATCTGTGCCCTGGGCTTTCTGATTAAGCTTTTCACGCGCATCTAAAGGCTTGTTTTTGGAAACGAGTCGTTCACGTGCATCCCTCATTTGATTGGTCTTGTTATTTGGGCCAGTTTTACGCACTGCTGGTACAGTGATGGAAACATCAGTGACCAATTTGTTACCTTGAAATCCTGCTGTGGCTTTCTTCTTTCCCTGAAACCCTGAAGGTTTTGGATTTCTGAAAACAAAACATCATTTTGAAATCATGCATATAATTATGTAAATGCATTATGAAAAATAATGAATTTATAAAATTTGATAGCAACTAACTTTACCTGAAAGCACTAACTGTATTGTTTTGTCTTATTAGACAGTTAAATCCTGGTAAAATGACAAGTTCACCACATTTTAAAAAGTCATTTTTAATGACTTTGTTTGTTTGATTGGGTTTTACGTCACACCGACACAGTATAGGTCATATGGCGACTTTCCGGCTTTACTGGTGGAGGAAGACCTCAGGTGCCCTTCCGTGCATTATTTCAGGCACGAACGGGCACCTGAGTAGTACCACCGACGTTCCATAAGCTAGCTGGATAGCTTCCTCACATGAAAGAATCCAAAGTCTGTCGGGATTCGAACCCACTTTGGTTTGAAGTCAACGACCTTAACCACTCGGCCACAGACGCCCCATAATGATTTAGTAAAGTTAGCAGTGTTTACTTTTCACTTAATCAGAATGAGGCCTTAGCCTTTTGATTTTAGGAAGAATTATCACTAAAATTGCTGTTTTTGTTTAGATTTTTGGGAAAACTGCATGATCTAATTAAAAAATTCCATGCAGAAGAGGCTTTTAACAGGCCTGTGTTACTTTATAAGCTGAATTGGGTATTAGGCATACAATTAGTAAATACTAAATTACAAGATAATTTTACAGTAAAATGAGTTACAACTTTGTTGATGTCAGAGTTGATTCATCAGTCAGATTTTAAAAAGTTTCTAGATATCAGCATGCCTTGTCACACACAATCCTGCATTTTGAACACAGAAAAAACAAGTCTGTGTGTGCTAGTCTACACATTTATTGCAGGTGAGAAATTAGATTATTAACAAAGTCAGCAAATTATAGTGGGCAATAACCTCAACGCTTTAAAATTCTAAATTATAAATAACCTATCCCACAGTATATTAACAATTTCTACTTCAATGCCTTTTTTCCCCTCTATTTTGGGAAAACACCACACTTATGGCAAATTTGGGAAATTTGTGTTGTAAAATATTCCAATTTGGAGAAAAAGTTTATCGTGAAATTTGCCAATTTGGGAAAATATGCTAGCATTCAAGGTGTTACAATTGTTAAAATAAATCTAAATAAATCTTACTTAAACTGTTCAGAATAAGATTTTCTGTCATATCAACAATACAAGGTCAGGCTAAAATGTGTACAAATGTAAAACTGATATCAATTAAAAATCCTGTTTTTATTAACAAAACATGAATATATTCCATAACGCTATTTTGCAACACTAAAATTGAAAATGCGGTACTTTTTCTTTCAAATTGCTGACTTCTAGATTGGGAATATTTTTTCCGGATTGGGAAAGAAACCCGTAATTTGGATGGGGAATGGGGCCCATATTCGGACCCGTGGGATAGGGGAAAAAAGAATTAACTTCCTATCAACAAAAGAAAGGTTCAAGTTAAAATAGGTTCCAAAGTAAGGTACAGTGAGCAGAATGTGTAAAAATCCAATATAGGATCTATATAGCGGTCTCACTAAAAAGCGTCCCGAAGAAATTTAGCGTCCCGAAGCGTCCTGAAGCGTCCCGAAGCATTATTGTTAATTTAAACAGTCAGAAGGGTTATATTTATTGTAAATAATGTATATTATTATGTATTGAGGTATTTATGGTAGAAAAAAAATCTTACTTATCATTTTTTCTATTTATATAAAAAAAATAACATACCTTCGACTCCAGTTCACTTGCTCAAAAACCACCGTATACCGACAAAGCGTCCGGCAGGTTTAATGTTTATCGAAACCAAAATTATTTTCAATTACTTCGTAATTTTAGTTAATGAAATAGTAATGTAAGTAACAATAGCGAGAAAAATGTTTTCCATACATAAAATTATATTATCTTTATTACGCCCGAAACCGTACGTCTATCCACGCATGTTTCAAGTTGCTAACTGACTAACATAGCGTCCCAAACGTCTTCATGGTATTTTTTTTATCTAAGCAAAGATAAATCGTGTTTTTTTCTTTTATGTTATGTGTAAGTGACATAAAGAAGGAAATAAACTTTTCATCCACAAAATATCATTATACAGCACAAAAACTGACGTTTCCCATGTTGCGCTAACAAAGCGTCCCGAACAAATTTAGCGTCCCGAAGCAGTTTCACTTTAAACATCGATATAATTAAAAGAAATCACTATCCATTTAAATATTTTTTTTTTCTAGATGATATTATTCAGGAAGACAGTTCTTCTCTATCAAATATTATTTGATATCCAGAAGATTAAAGTAGACATGGACGTGCGCAGTTGATCACACGCTCTCATATTCCTAAAATTAGGAAGCGTCCGGAAGATGTTATTGTAATCCAAAAAAAGTTGATATTGTAATAAATTGTATATAGCCGAATACAATCATTATCAAGTAACATTTGTTTTTATGGATAATATTAATCGGTTCACGTTAGCCATGTCGCGCTAACAAAACGTCCGGAAAAAAAACCCTGATAGTATTTGAAATAAATGGTAACTTATTGAAATCATTGTTTATTCTAAATTGTACCGATCATGACATTATGTATTATCCATAAGAAGGTTATATATTTCTATAACACTTATGTACATGTATGTAAAAGCAAAATTTTAATGTTTGTATTTATAAATATTTCATGGAATGCACGGACTGGCAGTGTCATTTTTTCGGTTTGTATGTACTGTAGGTAATTATACATTTAGGTGCACGAGCACTGTTCTTATAATCTATAATTATTGATTTGTGATTCATTGTCTCGTTCCTTATGTTGATTAGTGTGTTCATTTTATTGCAATCCTAATATCATTTTGTCAAGTTTGAATTTTTTCGCCAGTCTTTTATTAATGTATTTTATTTGATTTCCGAAGCGCTCTTTTGTCAAACCCGGTGCTTTAGAAAATTCGCCTGTGGTCAAAATTTCACAAATATAAACTTTTTTAACCCCAGAGGCCTTTAAATTATCCACAAGAATTTGGATTCTACTGACAATTTCGTTCGGGAATGATGTAGCTGTTATGTCATTACCGCCTACATTCAGAACTACAACATCTGCGTTTTGGCGCAGCAGACGAGAATATAGGGCATGGTCCATATGGTCGGTTCTTAGACCGCCTTTAAAACACCAATGCACGTGCCCTGGTATTAACAGTGGATCTTCGGCACAGTGATAGTGAAGACGTTTGATATAACTGTCACCAAATAGTACGACTTTAGCCATTGTAAGTCAGACTGTAATCAGTACGCAATAATTAGTAGTTTATAAATATCTGAACTGAGCTGAAAATGTCATATTTTAATGTTTGAATGAAGTAAACTGTTAACACAATGTAACACCTACCTGCATAAATAGTGCCTGAAGTAATTATATATCAATCACGATTTGTATACAGCCGTAAGTGTGAAAAATAGCATACCTACTCCTTAGATAGTCTCTTGTTAATTCGTTCAATTATATACATAAGAATATAATTTTTTTTTCCAATTTCAAATTTTATTGCCTGAAACATTATACAATGTTTATAGCATATAATCAACATAAACATATATACATTTACTTACATATATATGCAAGCATTGCATGACAACAACATCTTCAACTATAAAGAATGTCATTCCTAGAATGATGTGATGCATGCATGCGTATGTATGTATAGTTCGACATTTAAATTTGCACGTGAAAGTCGTGCATAACAGTTATCTACAACTATAAAGAATGTCATTCCTAGAATGATGTGAAATGTATTATTGGAATGTCATTCATAGATTTGAAAATGTATTCAAACAAAAGACACAGTAAATAAAAAGGGAGAAACACATTAACAACAACATCATAATAACAAGCCGTGCGTAGGTTTCGAACCTATTAGTTCAAATCATTTAAAGTAACAGTGACGTTGATTTACCACCTGAGCTATCACGATGTTAGAATTAAACTATATGAGTCGCGTCACGACAAAACCAACGTAATGCGTTTGCGACCAGCATGGATCCAGACCAGCCTGGGCATCCACGCAGTCTGATCAGGATCCATGCTGTTCGCTTACAAACCCTATAACAAGTAGAGAATCTGATAGCGCACAGCATGTGTGTGGATGCGCAGGCTGGTCTGGATCCATGCTGGTCGCAAACCCATTATGTTGGTTTTGTCATGGCGCGGCTCTTATCTAGTTGTTGACACTTTCGTTTTCGGATAATATGCAGAATTTTCCCTTTTAATGGACTTTCCCAACAATATACAACAATATACATAGAACACATATAACATGATTTAAAAAGTACATTGCCACTCATATGTTGAGTTATAAAAGACTTTAGTAACAATTCAACGAATAAAGAGACTTACGTAATTACTGCTATATATACTATATGCATGCTTATATCGTTAAAGCTAAGAAGCAGACGCTAATCGTTAAATAAAAAATCATTAAAATACACGACGATAAAAAACTGAATGTGGAAAAAAGGCACTATTGCGCAATTCAAAAAAAATTCTTCGGGACGCTTTGTTAGCGCAACATGGGAAACGTCAGTTTTCGCGCTGTAAAATAATATTTTGTGGATGAAATGTTTATTTCCTTTTTAATGTCACTTACACATATCATAAAAGAACTTAATTACGTTTTATCTTTGCTTAGATAAAAATAAAAACCATGAATAAGTTTCGGGACGCTATGTTAGTCAGTAAGCGACTTGAACTATGCGTGGATAGATGTACGATTTCGGGCGCTATAAAGATAATTTTATGTATGGAAAACATTTTTCTCGCTATTGTTACTTACATTACTATTTCATTAACTAAAATTACGAAGTATTTCAAAATAATTTTGGTTTAGATAAACATTAAACCTTCCGGACGCTTTGTCGGTATACGGTGGTTTTTGAGCAAGTGAACTGGAGTCGAAGGTATGTTAGGTTTTTTTTATATAAATAGAAAAAATGATAAGTAAGATTATTTTTTTCTACCACAAATACCTCAATACATAATAATATACATTATTTACAATAAATATAACCCTTCTGACTGTTTTAATTAACAATTATGCTTCGGGACGCTTCATGACATTTCGGGACGCTAAATTCTTCGGGACGCTTTGTTAGCGCAACATGGGAAACGTCAGTTTTCGCACTGTAAAATAATATTTTGTGGATGAAATGTTTATTTCCTTTTTAATGTCACTTTCACATATCATAAAAGAACTTAATTACGATTTATCTTTGCTTTGATAAAAATAAATACCATGAATACGTTTCGGGACGCTATGTTAGTCAGTAAGCGACTTGAACTATGCGTGGATAGATGTACGATTTCGGGCGCTATAAAGATAATTTTATGTATGGAAAACATTTTTTCTCGCTATTGTTACTTATATTACTATTTCATTAACTAAAATTACGATGTATTTCAAAATAATTTTGATTTAGATAAACATTAAACCTTCCGGACGCTTTGTCGGTATACGGTGGTTTTTGAGCAAGTGAACTGGAGTCGAAGTTATATTAGGTTTTTTTATATAAATAGAAAAAATGATAAGTAAGATTATTTTTTTCTACCATAAATACCTCAATACATAATAATATACATTATTTACAATAAATATAACCCTTCTGACTGTTTAAATTAACAATAATGCTTCGGGACGCTTCATGACATTTCGGGACGCTAAATTCTTCGGGACGCTTTGTTAGCGCAACATGGGAAACGTCAGTTTTCGCGCTGTAAAATAATATTTTGTGGATGAAATGTTTATTTCCTTTTTAATGTCACTTACACATATCATAAAAGAACTTAATTACGATTTATCTTTGCTTGGATAAAAATAAAAACCATGAATACGTTTCGGGACGCTATTTTAGTCAGTTAGCAACTTGAACTATGCGTGGATAGATGTACGATTTCGGGTGCTATAAAGATAATTTTATGTATGGAAATCATTTTTCCCGCTATTGTTACTTACATTACTATTTCATTAACTAAAATTACAAAGTATTTCAAAATAATTTTGTTTAGATAAACATTAAACCTTCCGGACGCTTTGTCGGTATACGGTGGTTTTTGAGCAAGTGAACTGGAGTCGAAGGTATATTAGTTTTTTTTATATAAATAGAAAAGTATGATAAGTTAGATTATTTTTTTCTACCATAAATACCTCAATACATAATAATATACATTATTTACAATAAATATAACCATTCTGACTGTTTAAATTAACAATAATGCTTCGGGACGCTTCATGACATTTCGGGACGCTAAATTCTTCGGGACGCTTTGTTAGCGCAACATGGGAAACGTCAGTTTTCGCGCTGAAAAATAATATTTTGTGGATGAAATGTTTATTTCCGTTTTAATGTCACTTACACATATCATAAAAGAACTTAATTACGATTTATCTTTGCTTAGATAAAAATAAAAACCATGAATACGTTTCGGGACGCTATGTTAGTCAGTAAGCGACTTGAACTATGCGTGGATAGATGTACGATTTCGGGCACTATAAAGATAATTTTATGTATGGAAAACATTTTTTCTCGCTATTGTTACTTATATTACTATTTCATTAACTAAAATTACGAAGTATTTCAAAATAATTTCGGTTTAGATAAACATTAAACCTTCCGGACGCGTTGTCGGTATACGGTGGTTTTTGAGCAAGTGAACTGGAGTCGAAGGTATGTTAGGTTTTTTTATATAAATAGAAAAAATGATAAGTAAGAATATTTTTTTCTACCATAAATACCTCAGTACATAATAATATAGCTCATTTACAATAAATATAACCCTTCTGTCTGTTTAAATTAACAATAATGCTTCGGGACGCTTCAGGACGCTTCGGGACGCTAAAATCCTTCGGGACGCTTTTTAGTGAGACCCTCTATATAGTCAATCCGAAGTCCGAAGCAGTAAATTTGGTTATAAAATTCAATCTTCTGTGAATCTTTGCACACATTTATTTTCACATCTAGTTAAAAAATCTAGATTTTAAGAGTAATTAGATCTACACATCTTAATCTTACTAGTCTTAGTCTTGATAAATTTTGGGCTTTGTTGACAGCAATTTGACAGCAGGTGTTTTTGCCTTTTTGGGGGTTTTTTTTGTGTGTGTTTTTTTTAAATGTACATGCATTAGAGACCCCTTTATACTTTTCTTTGGTTCTTGAAATCCTAATTGAATAAAGAAAAATTATGGTTTGTAGTAACTTTAAGTCTTAAATTTTCGACAGTGGCAAGCTGAACGACTAAAATCATCAGTTTTCGCGAACCGAATCAGCGTTACTATTAATATACGCGCACACTTCAAGATTTATTGACATATTCATTTTCTAATGAAAAAGTATTACTCTGAGACTATATTCGATTTTAGAAATAAAGCTTTTACCCAATTTTTATCTTGAAATTTGACTTAGAAATGTAGTCATCCAGCGATTCGTCCATTTTTGGAAAATTTGGGAAAGGCTAATACTCTTCCTCTGAGAGAATCGTTGTGGGATGGTCCTAGCCTTAATTTAACGTTGTCATTTAAATGGTAGATCAAAAGATATAATGATTTTTTTGTTGTGTTAAATATTGCAAACCTTAGAACAGCTTATTGTGTTGTTGTTATTCTCCTTCAGATATTCGCTACTCAAATAATCTCCCAGGTTATATCTAATCTAGTCCCGGTTATGGTATATTCTCAGAAAGGCGGGCATCTGGTTGATATTTAAAAATCCTATTTTTTATTTTTTGTACTTTGTTCTTTTGTTATTCTATCTTTTAACAAATGCACCTATACAGTAGATTTGTTATGTTTTTCTAGTCTATAATACTGTTTTTCCCTGACAGCACCCAAGTCATTACCTTCATTGATTCTTTGGGAGTAGGCCCTATCAAGTAGAAGTAGAAGAAGTACCTGTACAAGAATTTTTAATATGCATGTAGACACGGCTTTAATTGCATTATTTTGAACCGTATTTTTTACTGGCATTTTCAAGTCCATGCAATTATTCATTGTTTATTGTATAATTACGTACTTGATTCCTAAATAGGATTACAAAACTGGCAAAAGAGAACTGTCAGAAAACGTGATGATGCTGACACGATGCTTGACCACACTATACTGATTCATATCTAGGATTCATACACTAAAACTTCTATGAACATAAATCACACAAGGCTGAATAGAGATCATGTTTTGACTACTACATAATTATTCTGAATCTGAACCACAGCCGGGGAAATGCAGGAATGTTGCTCTTTATGCGTTTTAGAAAAAAAAAACAACATGACCAAAATTAAAAATAAATAATATAGATATACATGTATAATCCTACTCTGCATATTGGCAATTCGAGTATTAATAATTGGTATTCACATTGATAATTGTCTATCTTGGAAAACAAAAAATGAAAAACTTGTACTAATTAAGCTTGCGCTACAGTAGCGGTTGCTTCGAAAATATCCCTGTTGAAAAAAAATCTTACATCTTAAAGGAAAGAGTTAGTTCTATAATGCTTATACATGCAAAGCACAATTTGTATATTGTATAACTTGGTAACACGGTAGTAAATCAGACCTAAATATGATTACAAAACTGTCAAGAGAGAACTGTTAGAATTATTTTAAGGAAACACGTAAAAGCCATGCATCTCTTGACATACAGTATACAATATACGTTTTTAAAAACCGCCCAAAATGAATTATTTGAAAACAGTTTTATTGTTGTAGTATGGAGATTTTGGACCATATTTCTTTGGAAGCAAGAAAGTCTACAATGCTTGAACTTTTAATTACACTTTAAACAATACAAAATGATTTATAAACTATATACATTGTACTTGCTATTAAAATATAATATTATATCTGTTTCTTTTAATGGATAAGACTTTATGATTTTTTATTATTACTCTTGATATTTCTATTTTTTATTTTTATGATTATTCGTAGATTGTTTCTGCATTATATGTATTATCTTTGACACTGATGTATTGTTGTTTTAATAAGCTATCTTCTTTAAATAAAGAGTTTATTTTTACAACTTTTATTACAATTTTATTGCTACAGCGATGACATTAAAGATCAAAGTACTGAAAGTACAGGAATGCTTAGCGTAACATGCGGTGGCTCATCTACAGGAAAATGAATGTGGACTCTTTCTAGTAATTAGCTAATGATGTCAGTTTATTATACAAGACATCTGCATATTTTTATTACAGATTTTTTTAATCATGCAGTTGTCCATGAAGCTCCATGATAATTTCTAATCAGATCCAAGTGACAAAGCAATTTTGTACATTTCAACGAAAAAAAAGATAAAGAAGTAATTTTCGAGCATCTAACTAGATTTGTCTTGAAGTGATATTTACAGGCCGCTCTTTCCACTTTTCAGAAAAACAAAGTTTTCAAAGGAGCTACATGCTCTCAGCGTTATTTTAAAAGCTGACAAACATAATAAAATAATGACTACGATGACACCATATTTAATGTATATTTGGACCAATATCTGATTACATCTGTCAATTTTAGCACGCCTCTGCGTTCAAGGAGCTTTCTAGCTGTTCAAATCTGTAATGTTTCATTTTCAATATCCACAAGAGAAATTACAACACAAATATCAATTTGTTGGAAAAGCATTCGAAACTTCGAGGATGGCCATTTATAATTAATTTAGTTTGTAAATGTGTTCACGTGCTGTTGATTGTATACATGCTTAAGGTCATGACCTTGCGACAGCTGTAATGTCGTAGGGGTTATTACGTTCTATATGCATTGTACGAGGGTTGCACATAAAAAGTTCATTTTGAAAAATATAAAGCACACTTTGCATTTTGTGTTTGTTTTGATATCACGTGCGTATTTATTATCGAAATAACAAACCACACGGCAAATTTTACGGAAAATTCATTGTGCATCATTACTATTCAACCGGTGCACATCAAAATTTTGACGATTATCATCGACAAAACCTGTTCTTGTCTTCAATATAGCATGATTCTCCGCGAATAGTTGACGGGTGTTTCTAATGTCATTCATTTAAAATTTTGACGTCATACTGCAGTACATTAAGGTGTTCTTAACACGCATGATTTACAAAAAAAATCAGGTAATGACGATGTGAATACAATATATATATATATACATGTATATATATTTACGAGGCGATTTTGAAAAAAAATTGAAGGAGTTTTGCAGGTGATTTCCGAGCTGGAAGATTCCAAATTCATAGCGGCATTGTGCGGCATTGTGGCCTGGGCGTCCATGCTATTATCAAGGACAAAATGAGTTATATAATAACAACACTTTCATGGAATCACGCTGACGTCAAATGACCTCATCGTTTGCGCCGTCTAAACTGTATAGTTTCAAATGCTTGTAATTGTATATAAAAAGAAATACCTTACAACTGTTTTAATTCAAAAGACATGGTTTTGTCAAATGTTTCAACAAGTCAAGTCATTTCATTTATATTTTCACCAAATCTAACTACAACATTTACAGCTGCCCGAATTACAGCATCCTGACATAGGGTACGGGCACGGCAACGGGCAGTCATGAGCCGTCTGGCAGGGAGTGTGACAGCGGCAAATCCCTGCATCACAGAAGCCAATTTGTCCATGAGGGCAAGGGAGGTAACAAGGATCACTTGGTTTGCATCCGAGTAGGCAAACGCATACCCCAGAGTCGCAACTCAACACCAACCACTCCGGGCACGATATATGACACTCGGATACATTATTGCACGTGGGTGCCATGGAAACTAATCTTCGATGATGACCAACGTGACACTCACATCTACTGTCGGTTAGACCATCGCCGTGGTTACAAAAGCCCGTCATCCCAAAAGGACAGGGTAGCGGGCAATCACTGTCTGAAGAACACCGAGTGTTAAAGTGAGTGGCATGGCATGTACAGTTACCATCGTGGCAATGACCTAATGTTGGAAAAGGACATGGTAGCGGACAGTCTTTGTTCGATGTGCAAGGTGGACAACGACAAACTCCGGAATCGCAATGTGCAGTTGCAGCTGGTGAGAGGCAACCTACTCGGGAACACTCGGCGTCAGATTGACAGAGGTCATCCCCTTCTAAAGACCCTGTGATAAAAATAAACAGTCCTTTAATGATATTTATTCATTCTGAATAGGGTTTATATACGTAAAATATCAATGCTCAAACTTTAAAAATAATGTGTCGAAATTCAGCCAAAAATTCGATAGAGAACGACGTTATCAGGTTTTAAATAGACATCATTTCCAAATGTGTGAAAATTTAACCCAGTAAATATGAATTTTAAGAAATATAACTTACCAATATTGCCTATAATTAATATTGAAAGTATGATCAACATTGTGAACGTTTAATTATTCTACTATAACTAGTTGTTCTACTTAATTTGACATTTGTATGTGTGATGACATATGTGAAATAGATAAGACTCATTTGTTAAAAATTGTTTTAAAACGATACATTAAAGGCCCATTATGCCTCAGAAATGCTATTATTTTTATTTCTCAAAAACCTTTTATTTTTGGTAAATTGTTACAGTTTCAAAATAATACTAATTTTAAATATACACAAAATATCTTTTTGCTCTTTTTGCTTTGTTGGCAATGATATAGTAAATTACTATTTTGTATGTAAGTCAAAATACCACTTTGTTTACATTAAATTTTTGCTACCTTTACGACACATTTCTGCACATTGATCAACGCTACTTTCTTCATTTGTTAAACATCTCTAACATGCTCTAAATACATTATTTAAACATTATTAAACACATGTTTGACATTTCTAAAGAATAAATATATATGGATTTCTGAGGCATAATGTGACTTAAATATTATATCGAGATAACATCGACAGTTCACAATACGATAATAAATCTGTTAACACTTAATATAATTTCTGTTTGCACCTGGCAAGACTCAGCAGTTTATTTATGTCAAGATAAGGTAGAACAAATACCAAATTAGATGAAAATGTCCGGGCCAAGAGGGCACTGGACTGGAATTAAAAATAGTGACGTATATATTTTTATTCATTAATTAAAGAATAAAGGTAAATCACTATAAGAAGAAGAAAATTTAGTCAGTTATATTTATGTGTAATATTTCTTATCAGCATCGTCTGTTCCGCTTCTGTAGCACTACAAATGTACTATATTGCATTTTTTACAAACACCGCTCTCATGGCGCCAAAACCAAAATGAGCCGTCAGTATGATTGCAGATGGAATTATGCTCCCCGCTCTTCCCAGATAGTGCATGATATCATTCATAGGCAAGAGAAACTTCTACTTTTTATTAACTCTTCAATCTGATTAGAAAGAGTTTTATATAACGGTACTCCAGCTTGGCCGTGATTTAATTCAGCTTGTAAATGAAGTACTACACTGCGAAATATATGAAAGTAATAATTTCTTATACATTTACCTCTGGTGTTTATCTAATTTTATAGGCTTTTTTTAATCATTTTCACTTCAACATATTTGTATTTTCTGTAGCTAGGAGACGAAAAACATCGGTGCCTTTAGTTCTTTGATTTATAAATTCACACTTAAAGCGGGAAAATATTTTCTGATAGTGCCATGTAAATGTTGCAACATACAAGAGTGCCTACACAATTAAAGCAACGAAATTTTCCTTACAGACCATAAGATCCATATACCTGTAGTTTATGAAGCTCTATAACTGATATGTAGGACATTTTTATTATGGTATAAATAACAAGAGAAACATGTATATTGTATATGAATATTAGTTATTTATTAGAATAATCGATAAAAGTGCAATATAACATGGAAATTTTTACACAGCAACAATAACACACGAATATTATGCAATTATTAAAAATCTACATAATCACGCAACAAGAAGACTTTGCAACTAACTAAGACATTAAACAAAGTGCAAAATATAACATTAAACAAGATCTGTGGACGATTTGTCCGATTTACAAGAACAGTTAACTCAGATATATCTTGTTGGAATCAACAGTGATTAGCCTTTTGCAAGCAGTATGGAGTCAGACAAATCTGGCCAAGCTCCATATTGTTGGTAGTTTAATTACTTGATTTCGATACTGAAATTTCCTTTACATTTTGAATGGATTGTTCCGAATTCAAAGCATGGTAAAACCGTTTCAACAGTTTATAATTATCTAGTTAACAATTTGCCAATGTATGAATATAGGAAAAGTATGTCTTGGTCCCATGACTAACAATTCATTTTACACATACTGTAGCTAGAAACGATGTAGCAGACTGAGTACAACAAAAGCACATTACTAACAAATTATTATACTGGAATGACAAAATAAAAAACATCAGAAAATCTCCTGAAGTAAACAAGAGATCGACGTGGACCTATATTGCTCATCTGAGTAAATGGTAAAGCAGATAACTGACTTTCGAAGGGTGCTACCAATTATAACTGTCTTCTCATTCTGACTTTATTCTCTTGTACATTTTGTATTTATCACATCAGCAATTTATATAACCTAATTTTATATATTTTAACCAAAATCTCTGAATTATTCATAATCTTCATATATCTATTTTTAAAAAACACATTAGCATATTGTAACTAAAAAGAAAAAGCTTTGGTGAATCATATCATTTCATAAATTTAATAAATTTATATTACAGCAAGTATTAGTTTCTAAAAAGCTCATTAGAAACTGTTAAATGTTTGTATTTGCAAATGGTAATTCATATAATACTTTCTTTAATTCAAAAAGTAAATCATAACTTATTAAAAGCACAAAGCATTTACAAATGGCCAAAATTTATATATTTGCAATAAATTTAATTTTGTAAAAATATAATATTAAAATTGGTGAAATGAAGAAACAGCATAAAACAAAAAGCATGTCAAACCTGTGCCATTGATCACTTAGATGTATAAAATAATAAATAAATAAATCTGAAAACGAAACATACACAAATGTATTACAAATTACCAAACTGTTGCAAAATATTTAACTAATTTCACAAATACAAAATTTTATTTTAAAAATACAAATAAGAAAAAAATATTTTCATTCTTTCCATTTTTTATTATTATTTGAACAACTCACTAAACTGAAGTTTAAATTTACGAGTTAAAAAAAAATAACAAAAATATCTGCAACCTTCATGACAATCTACCAAATTTTGTAAGAGTGTAAAATTAACTATTTCACTGATTTTTTTTATTCATTACGTTGATTTGTTATCACACTGATATTTTTAAAGGCCCATTATGCCTCAAAAACGTTTTGTTTCTTATTCCTGAAACCTTTTTAATTTTTGTGTACTTCTAATTTCTTCAGGTAACAAGCAATTCTTACATGCTCTAAAACCATTCTTTAAATGTTATAAAAATTCATATTTGCCTTTTCAAAAGAAGTAAAAAATGTCTTCGTTTCTGTGGCATAATGCGTCTTAAGAAAACCTATTAATTATTTTAATTTTATTTCATATGGTAATAAGTAATTACAAAATATCAATTGTTTTCTAAAATTAAACAAGCTAATTAATATAAAACTTATTGCATACTTTACATTTCTTAAACTAAACAGAAAACAAAAATGTAAGAAAAGAAACTACATTGATAATAGAAGACAAACACTGCTGTATAAAGTGAAAAACAGTTGTGACACATACTCAGTTATAGGCCTTTAATAAACTCTAAAACATTATAAAAACAACACTATACATATAGGTAGTACTATTGGAAAAAATATTTAAAATAAGATAGAAAAAATGAGTTAAATACATCTTAATTAAAACATATATACAAACGCTTAAAGGCATAGTGCAAATCTTATTATGTTACATTACATCTGAGAAGACTTTAAGTCATTCCTCATTCCAGATTATATATATTGTTTTAGATAGATTATAAGATTGTGTAATATTAAGACAGTAAACAAATCCCTAATTGAATGTGAAATATCAAATATTATATGCAGAATAAACATACAAAAAAGATACTCTTATACACTGGATTTCCCAGAGTCATCTTTTACAAAAACTTCTTTTATGTGAAATATAATATATCTTGCCATAATATTTTTAGATAAATATTTTAGGTAATTATTTAATATATGTTATAAATGTGAGAACAATTCTATAATAACAAGATAATTAATTATCTATCATTAAAACTGATATTATTATGCACAAACGATAACAAATAAAAGATTATTTCACATATATAATCATAATTTATATTATAAAAATTCTGTCTGTACAATATTTACAATTTGAGTTTTGACTAGAATTATTAATTACCCTCATGTCATAAAGTACATGTGTATTTTCGCGTCCTCATTCATCCATAAAACTCTGTGACAGACAACAAGCAACAATTTCTACGGCAAATTGTCAGCAAGAAGCTCATAACCTTCCTTCATTCAAAGCTCAGATCATAAAGAGGAAAATATTGCTCAAATTCTTTCTTAAATAAACATCAATAAATTTCTTATCTATGTTTCAAACTTTGTAACCAATCACATTTTCAGTTATCATACAAATACAAGGTAAGCCTCATCTTCCAAAAAGTATAATATTGTTAAAGCCTATTGTCTTTTCTGAGCATATGTTAAACTCTCTACAATCTTTGAAAACCTGACAGTTTTGTAACAACATTCATGATTCGCTGAATCTTCAATTATCCCAGTTTTGATTGGACAGGATTGATCTGTAGCCACACCTTCTGACTGACCAAACAGTTTAGTAACAGCACTCATGATTCGCTGAATCTTCCAACATCAAAATCTTTGATTGGTCAGGATATATTTAGTAATCCTGGCTGGCCAATGGAAATCCTTGCTTTTTAAAACTGAAGTCATCCACATGGACATATCTAGGAGGATTGTTCCTGGACCTTACTACGTAATTTAACAAAGTCATCAGCCGCTTTATCCCACTCACGCTTTGCTAGTACTGCCAGGGCACCTGTCTCTGAATTTGAAAATACATGTACATCTGGTTAAAAATCATCTTACAATATACTCTTATTAAATATGTTTGTGATATTTATACAATTTACTTTTTTCAATGTCACCAAATTTTAAGTTATCTTATGAAGTTTTGATATAACTAACCAGGTGGTTTATAAAGTCACTATGACTTTCAAAGTGCTTAGATTATATTTATTTATTTTAGTTTGATTGTATTGGAAGTTATGAGCTTTTATAAGGTAATGGAAACACTCTCGAATCCATTCCTTGAACCAACCAGTACTAAGCAGTGAGTGTTAAGTTCCTTGCTCACGGAAACAACAGCTTGCCCCAAACAGGGTTTGAACCCAAGCGACCAGCAATCCTTAGATAACTAGTCTGACTTGTTATCACTCGGCCACGCAGCCACTTTTTAAAGTGGTTGAGAGGCAACAATTAATGGACAGTTTTCCTAAAGATTGATCATGTGCGTCTTGCTTTCACATCAACGATAGAGAACTATACTATTATATATCAAGTAAAAGTCTGATTAACAAGTAAATCAAGGGAAGGAAAGAACACACATCAAACATCAGGATGGTTTGTAACTGGTTTATTCTAGGATCTACCAGTTTCGGTCTTTCAAGACCTTCATCAGGATAAGTCTGGTTTAAAATTCTCACTTATACATGTACCATAATAATGCATTCAAAAATCTGTAAGAATATTGCTTACTTTTTCTGCCAGGCTGCATGAGTGGTAAAGTGACTACATTGAGTGCCTCATACCCTGTCACATCATCCCCATATACTCCTGGGATCTCTGCAAGTGGCATGAACACCTCACCAGCAAAGTCATTCTGGAACACATAGTCATGATCCATGACCGTGAACACCAGCGCAGCTCCTTTCCTCTGACACTGTTGCAAGGACACATTACTACAAGAAAATAACAATCAGTCTAACTCAAATTTACTGTAATACATACAGGGCATGCAACAATTGTTTTTTCATTTTATCTTTTTATGCCAATTTTAATACATTTTTGTTCATACTTTGGTAGTTGGTCCATCTCAGAGCATCAAATCATGGCAAACATTTGTGCCAAGTTATTTTCTAACCACATATTTACACTCATTCAAGTCAACTCCAACTAAATGGCTTGGCCATAATTACTTTTAAACAACCAACAGCCCAATTCTTCAGTCAGTTTCTATATTAATTAAATAAATAAAATTAAAAAATTCTCTTGAAAAAATTGAAACTATGAACAAAAGCTTACAAAAAGCTATCAAGTTCTGAAATAATTATTAAATTCTTGGCATTCTTTAAATTTTGACTTTTAATGAATTAAATAAATCCTGATTAAAGTGATAAAATATCAAAAAGAATAAGTAGTGTCTATCACAAACACTTACAATTCAAAAGATTCATCAAAGACTGGGTTGAGCGTTTTCTTTACAATTTTTGTCGTCTGTGTAGGAACATTGGCAAACATATGTTCAGGACAAAATGACACGACTACGTAGGGGTCACTCAGTCCATTTGCATCTAATGGTATCACATCCTTGGCGCTGAGTACTGAAAGTTAATATCAATACTTTTATTAGGTAAACACATATAAATACAGATAGTGAGATACACATGCCAAATATTAAATTTGTTCTGAATCTCTTTTTATCTTGATCTTAAGTCATACTTTCACATGTCTTTTCATTCACTAACACATGCAAGCTAAGCTTTATACATATGCATATAAATGTATATAAAATAATTTATGTGCAGAAGTGTAGAAATAGTTTATGAGATAAATCAAGGAAATGAGAAAAATGTTTGTATATGTAATTATTGTACCTTCAACCAGCATGGTATGAGAATCTCTCTTGTACCAGACACGAACACTGAGAGTCCCGTACTCTGTACTCGTCCACTGACGCTGTAATATTATTATCAAATTGTTTGTTATAACTTACTGATTTGTACATATATTGTTCATGTTTTGCTTTCATTATTTTTTGATATTTAGATCCTTAATGAAATATCTTATGCATTGACAGTCAAATATTAAATGTATAACAAGTTTCTTTGAGCCAATATAAAAATATGAATATTCCAAAGTAAAAACCAACACAAGCAATACTGAAATCATGGAAATAGTTTTGATTTTTTTTAAAGTAGCCCCTGGGTTAGAATTAAAGGGTCAGTGACAATGTTGAGGTTTCAGGATGACCTAACAGCTGGCTAAAAAAGATTCTATGTACACTTGTGAATAATTTTCAAGTTCTGTAAGCTTACTGGACATCTTCCACTTATGCTTCCAACTTAATTCTAAGAAGAAAAGTTTGATTCATAATTCTACAGAAGTACATTATAAAAGAACCAGAGGCTAGAATATATTAAACAAGTTTTATCATAAAGATGTAAATATTATAAGAAGAGTTAACTCCCCTACCTGTTCGTCCAGTTTTTCTTGATAGAATGTCTCTATAAGGCTGTATGTGTCCATTTTATGTAGAGACAACTCTTGTCTTACTTTCTGAATTCATAAAACAGCATCAAATAGAATACATTCATCTTAATACTTCTTTATATAATTTGCAAGAAGACAGTAGTTTAATAAATTTCACTCTTTTAAAGTCTACAATGGGCACATTTTTCATAAGTATTTCATGAATTGATAAAAACAATAGAAAATTAAATTTCTGTATTATGTATCATTTGGATATTCTAATAACATTTTGCTTGAAATTTTTTTGATAAAGTCATAGTGATTTAGTTAGTGATTAAGCATAAACATTTATATGGTGAATATTAATGATATTTTGTTCCAGAACATCTTATCATCTGCTATACATGTATAATTATATGTAATATCAGATCATGTATCTCACACTTGCCAACAACATCAATGATATATAATTCTTTCGCGGACTGTTGTTATATCTAATTATTAATACTATCAACATAATCATTTATTGTATTACAAACCTTCCTTTATAGACCAATTCACTTTAAAACTAACAAATGTTAAAGTCCAGTGATAACTTTACAGCTTTACTTATTAGGTGGAGGAAAATTCCTTATAATCATGAAACGAGTAGAACCACTAATTTGTGTTTTTTTTTTGTAAGTTAGCTGTTTAACTTTCCGACATGTAATAATTTAAAATCCTGGTGGATTCTAAACACATAGTAGGAAAGGGCAAATTAAATACTGGTATTATAGTGGAAATTGATATTAACTCATAATTTGCAGAAACTTAAAGTAAGTAGACTTAGCCACCAGCATATAAACAACAGCTCGGGTTATATTTCCAAACAACTGTTTATATAATAATGAGGGCCATATAACCTGTCCAAGATCTTAATAACTGAAAATATTAATGTGCATCTGTCACAACCAATACAAAATAATAGAACAATGTAAATATCTATTTCCTGAACAAAACTACCGGTATATACATCGACCTAATCCATGACAATAATAGCACATTCATACCAATATATTAAAACAACAAAGCAAAACAAATACAGTCATGTATTAGTATGAGCATTAACTTTGGGCAGTGATTTTCATAAGACATTCAATGGTTATTTCCCTTATATCATTGAATATTTACCTTATATAAGGGACAGACAATATTCTGCATTGGTAGACCTTTATCATTGGCATTGAAGAATTGTACAAGAAGTCCTATAGCATCATACATCCTCTGGTAAAATAATGGTTTCTGAAAAAATAAACAACAAAATATAATCATGGTCTCATGGTCAAAGTTGAGCGTATGGTAATATTTTTTTCTTTTATTATAGACTTCATTATTGATGCAGAGGGCCTGAGGACATCCCCATACAAATTCATTCCCAATATAAATGTGTAAAATGACAAGAAGCAAAAAATATTAAATTTAGTAATATAGGAAAAAGTATTACAATATACACTAACAATAATAATAACAACAAGAGCCGGTTGAACCGGGTGATGCTCCCCGAATAAGTTTTGGACACAGGAAGGTATACCTCTTGTAGTGTCAGAGTTATTGTCACAAACAAAGTTCAAAGTGTAAAAATAACCCAAATGTTGTGCACGACACATTGTCTCAATATGGTGATCATTTTTGTGAAATATTTTTAAAATCCGACTTCAAATAACAAAGTTATGGGCCGGACACGATTTTGCTGCAAGGTCATGCCGTGACCTTGACCTTCAAGGTAGCGACCCAAGTGTTGCACGCGACACGTCGTCTTAATATGGTGATAATTTCTGTGAAATATTTTTACAATCCGACTTCAAATAATGAAGTTATGGACCGGACACGATTTTGCTGCAAGGTCATGCTGTGACCTTGACCTTCAAGGTAGCGAGCCAAATGTTGCGCGCGACACGTCGTCTTAATATGGTGATCATTTCCGTGAAATATTTTTACAATCCGACTTCAAATAATGAAGTTATGGACCGGACACGATTTTGCTGCAAGGTCATGCTGTGACCTTGACCTTCAAGGTAGCGAGCCAAATGTTGCGCGCGACACATCATCTCAATATGGTGATCATTTCTGTGAAATAGTTTTAAAATCCGACTTCAAATAACAAAGTAATGGGCCGGACACAAATTCGGGACGTACGTACGTACGGACGGACGGACAACCCAACGACTATATGCTCCCCCGAAATTTTTCAGGGAGCATAACAATAACAATACAGTCCACATCTGAAACAATCTAAATTCTTACAACCCCATTCCTTCAAAAAATAAATAAATCAATCAATACTTTTATGTCATTTACATGAAGGTTTACTCTAAAATACATTCCTGACTAGTTTAATATGATAATTTCTGTTCAACATAAAAACTGCTCTGTCAATTGGCAGGCATTTTGCTACAAATTTGTCAGAGATAAAATTTCAAATGCCTAAGAAAAATATTTATGGACTTCTATTAAATGACATAAACCAGAATGTAATTCTCCTGGAATATCAATGATTAATCTGTAAATGTCATACAATGAAATAAAATAAAATGACATTTTGCAACAAAACACATAGATACATCATGTGATAAATGAAAATATCTCTCTCAAAGAAATATAAATCTGCTTTTCAGATATTCTTCAAAAACAGAACATTTTCTCAAAAGACAAAGTTTATATTGTCTACTTTTTGACTGAAAGACAATATTCTCCACGGAGTTATATTACTTTAATCAATTTCAATGCTTTAAAAATAATCTTCAGTATTTGTATCAACTTATTTGTAAAGTCATTCTGTCTGTAAGTAATAGTCTGTTACATTTCCTTATAAAACAATTAATATTGAAATAATTATCTGCATACAAAGTAAACATTAAATTGTTTCAATGATTAGAAGATTGCAGAATGAATATATAGTTCTAACATCATCTCTTTATTAAACAGTGTCAGGGTGGCTGAGTGGTGTATGCATCAGACAAGTAATACCCAGTCAGGGGCAAGCCATTCTAGGTTTCTAATGTGCTACAATATTTATAGATATTACATGATAACTAAATTGTTTCCAATGTGTTGTCATCAGATAACTAGTTTCTAATGTGCTGTGGTATGTATAGATATAACATGATAACTAGTTTCTCATGTACTACAGTATATATAGATATTACACTATAACTAATATGTTTCTAATGTGTTGTTTATAGATATTACATGATAACTAGTTTCTAATGTGCTATGGTATGTATAGATATTACATGATAACTAGTTTCTAATGTACTACAGTATATATAGATATTACATGATAACTAGTTTCTAATGTACTACAGTATGTATAGATATTACATGATAACTTGTTTCTAATGTACTACAGTATGTAATAGATATTACATGATAACTAGTTTCTAATGTGCTACAGTATGTATAGATATATTACATGATAAACTAAATTCTAATGTACTACAGTATGTATAGATATTACATGATAACTAAATTCTAATGTACTACAGTATGTTTAGATATTACATGATAACTAGTTTCTAATGTACTACAGTATGTATAGATATTACATGATAACTTGTTTCTAATGTGCTACGGTATGTATAGATATTACATGATAACTAAATTCTAATGTACTACAGTATGTATAGATATTACATGATAACTAGTTTCTAATGTACTACAGTATGTATAGATATTACATGATAACTTGTTTCTAATGTACTACAGTATGTATAGATATTACATGATAACTAGTTTCTAATGTACTACAGTATGTATAGATATTACATGATAACATATTTCTAATGTGCTACGGTATGTATAGATATTACATGATAACTTGTTTCTAATGTACTACAGTATGTATAGATATTACATGATAACTTGTTTCTAATGTACTACAGTATGTATAGATATTACATGATAACTAGTTTCTAATGTGCTACAGTATGTATAGATATTACATGATAACTAAATTCTAATGTACTACAGTATGTATAGATATTACATGATAACTAAATTCTAATGTACTACAGTATGTTTAGATATTACATGATAACTAGTTTCTAATGTACTACAGTATGTATAGATATTACATGATAACTAGTTTCTAATGTACTACAGTATGTATAGATATTACATGATAACTAGTTTCTAATGTACTACAGTATGTATAGATATTACATTGATAACTAGTTTCTAATGTGCTACGGTATGTATAGATATTACATGATAACTAAATTCTAATGTACTACAGTATGTATAGATATTACATGATAACTAAATTTCTAATGTGCTACAGTATGTATAGATATTACATGATAACTAAATTCTAATGTACTACAGTATGTATAGATATTACATGATAACTAAATTCTAATGTACTACAGTATGTATAGATATTACATGATAACTAGTTTCTAATGTACTACAGTATGTATAGATATTACATGATAACTTGTTTCTAATGTGCTACGGTATGTATAGATATTACATGATAACTAAATTCTAATGTACTACAGTATGTATAGATATTACATGATAACTAGTTTCTAATGTGCTACAGTATGTATAGATATTACATGATAACTTGTTTCTAATGTACTACAGTATGTATAGATATTACATGATAACTAAATTCTAATGTACTACAGTATGTTTAGATATTACATGATAACTAGTTTCTAATGTACTACAGTATGTATAGATATTACATGATAACTTGTTTCTAATGTGCTACGGTATGTATAGATATTACATGATAACTAAATTCTAATGTACTACAGTATGTATAGATATTACATGATAACTAGTTTCTAATGTGCTACAGTATGTATAGATATTACATGATAACTTGTTTCTAATGTACTACAGTATGTATAGATATTACATGATAACTTGTTTCTAATGTGCTACAGTATGTATAGATATTACATGATAACTAGTTTCTAATGTGCTACAGTATGCATAGATATTACATGATAACTAGTTTCTAATGTGCTACGGTATGTATAGATATTACATGATAACTAAATTCTAATGTACTACAGTATGTATAGATATTACATGATAACTAGTTTCTCATGTGCTGATAACTAGTTTCTAATGTGCTATGGTATGTATAGATATTACATGATAACTAGTTTCTAACATACTACATTATGTATAGATATTACACTATAACTAATATGTTTGTAATGTTTTCTGTTTGTTTGTTTTGGGTTTTACGTCACATCGACACTGTAAAGGTCATATCGCGACGTTCCAGCCTTACTGGTGGAAAAAGACCTCAGGTGCCCTTCCTTGTTTTTAATGTGTTGAGTATAGATATTCCACGATACCTTTTTTTTAATGTATTGTATATAGATTTTACACGATACCTTGTTTTTTAATGCATTGTATAGATATCAGACAAGACAATATGACTTACAGCCTCCTCAGTATCGAGAGCATCTCTAAACTCCTCCAGACATTCAATCCAGATTGATTCAAGTATTCTATCAAAGTTCGTCTTGAGGAGATGTGTATTGAGCACAAGAAGATTACTGTCAAGATATTCCAGTAAATCTCCGATAGCCTACAAATGAAGTGACAAACAAAGTGACAAAGTAGAAACCTTATATCCAAAATATAAATATTACTATACTAACAATACATTGAGCTTAGCAAAAAGATTCATCAACAGATAATTTTCTTTTGATACTGATATATAAGACTCATTGAAAGGTTTCTGTTGATAAGTAAAGGATTGTGCAAGTTCATACCATAAACAAGAGCTTTCAGTATGACAGCTTGCTCGACTATTCTCAGTGCTTGTTAGTAAAACAAGAGCCTGGGTTATGTTGAATGTTCAAAAAGGGCCATAATTTTGTAAAACCAATGTTAAGAGTTATTGGCCTTACATAAACACTTCCTATTACGCTCTCAAATATGTGTGTGAATTTTCAACCCATTTAATTCCGTAGTTTTTGAGATTATAGAAAAACTTCACAAAGTGTGATGCCAATGCCGACACCTGGGTAAGTACAATAATTTTCCCTATTTTTTTAATAGTTGAGCTAAAGATGGGCTGCCGAACAGATTTCTTTCAATACTTGTCAAAGTGACATTTTTCACGATGTTTAAACATACAAAATGTAACACAACATTCATGTATGAAAACTTCAGCAAACTTTAATCTAATGAGCTTCTGAAATTACAGATTGTTGTCTTCTATTTCTATAACAAACTCTACATTCTGCACTTTTCTATAATATTGGGTTTACAGCATTTTCTTAGGGAATACTCTCTTCTCAGAATGCCATACACTTAATTGAATCTTCAGGAACTAGATCAATTGAATTAAAATAGAATAACTACAGTTGATTATTCAATTATTCCCCAGTACAATCAGTTTTGCTATTCCTAATTAGAATTTCTACAGGTCTTTTAAACCAATAGTTTTTTTGGGTTGTTTTTTTGTGTGACATTTTCTAAAATCAAATAAGAAAATTCAAGGAAGACATTTACAATTTGGAGGCTTTGCAAGTTTTTATTAATTGGCAGACATATGCTGTATGGTGAAGCTGGAATTTTTTATTAAAATTTAAAGTGGCCTTCAGCTTTTATTTTTTTTGTTGGAAAAACATTTCTGTGCTGTTCCAAACTACGTATTTCAGTAATATTACCTAGGAAAAGAGCATTATATCACTGTTAAAATAGAGAGAAATAAGAATCCCTAAAGAAAGCCCAACACGGCAAAATTGAAAATGTTGCAGGCTCGGTTTGATTGAGCCTGTTCATGGACAGTACTGTCAAGTGCAAACTACCGTCCACGCCCCCTAGCACCGGCTTAAGCAGAATTCAACATTTAACATGAACTGGTAAAATTTAGAATTTTGAAACATCCGCAGATGTTTACGCCTTCTTAAAAAGGGGGCCATGAGAGCTATTTATAGCATGCAGTGACATTCATTTCTAAAAATAGAAGATTGGGAAACAAATTGTTCACTTTACTAATTTACATATAGAGAGCTGTCCGGTAGATTTAAGGATATCGGGAGGTTTCCTTATTGTTATGTATTTTATTGACAACAAATCACATTTTACACCTTAATTCTTTTGATTTGATAATTTTATAAAACAATTTTTTAAAAATAACATTTAACCTTTAGATAAACTGAAGGCTGCTTTAAATCAAACAGCATTTTAGAACAGTCAAAGATAAGCTGTGCCATAAGGTTGAACAAACTCTATATATGTTTGTTTTTTTTCACCATTTGGTTTTAATCAGCCAATTTAATATATTCACAATAGAGGTATTGAGAGCAAAAAGCAAAAAGGAAGAAACTACCCTGTCACAAAGTCAAAGAAAAACTTACATGATAGTAACTGTAATATACTATTACTAGTACTATACCATACTGGAAATGAACATTAAACAACCAATTGAAGTGATCTTCAATAAATACAAATTTGATTGTTAAAAAATTTAAATTAAATACTTACATCATCTGCTGGAACTGCCTCTGGAGCCCAATTCAAGTGGAATACATCTTTCTTTATATCTGGACGCATCTGTAACACAATGACACAAAATTTTGTTACCATTAAAAAAATACAAGGTACATGTAAAAGAATGTCATCATGTGTTGCCTTGCAATAGATGTCAAGTTTTTTTGCATGATATTATAAGAATTAAGTTAAGATTTACTTGTTAACTTTTAAAATAGATATATAGATTCATAAGGAGGTAAGTAAATGTCCTGTATATGTATGAGAAATACTGCAAATTAGTGGCTTCTATTGTCTGTCAGTTCAAATCCTGTCAGGGACTTAAGAAAATTTTTATGTAAGGAAGCTATCCAGCAAGCTTGTTCTACTCAAGTGCTCATTTGTGACTGGGAAAAAAGTCCATGGAAGGTAACATGGGGCCTTTGTCCACCAGTAAAGCTGGAAGGTAGCTCTATGACCTTAACAGTGCTTTTACTTCCTTAAAGGCCCATTTTGCCTCAGAAATGCTATCATTTTATCTCTCAAAAATATACACATTTGTTACATTAAAGGACTATCTTTTGCACTTCTAACTAAAGCTCTTTTGGCAATTTGTATAATTATAGTGAATAAGTATTTTGTATGGAAGTCAAAATACTACTTTGTTTACGTTTTGTTACCTTTATGACACATAACTGCATGTTCAGCGCTACTTTTTTTTTCAGTTTTAAAAGATCTAACACGCTCTTAATCCATTCTTTAAACATTTTAAAACACATGTTTGACATTTCTAAAGAATTAACTGAATTAAGAAATGATATTTATTCAGAATTACTTTATCAGCAACTCTGTCCACGACATTTTTAATCTTCTGAATCATTTGAGCATCAGCTTTAGCGAGAATCTTCGATAAGTCATATCTGGACTTGTTTTTTACGTTGTGATTTTCTAATGTCGTCTGAATCTCATTAAACTGTAACATCTCCGGCATTGGTGACAGGGACTTACGTACTTGCTCTATGTTGTTAATTGTGACACATAGCTGTAATCATCAGAGATATAAAAATAATTATAGTATTATTAAACACAATTTGCTCAGGTTACTGTACATTTAGGTTCTCATTGACCGCCGTACAGTGACCTACTTTTAGCTCAAAATTCATATCTTTGGCTAATACTCCATGGAAATTGCTTATTGATGAGGGTAAATTATCACCACTTTGTGCTTCAAAATTAACTCTTTAAGGGCATGACTGGTGACATGTCCGAAGTTCGTACTCGACAGCAAAAGCTGCTTGTAGTGCCGGACCCTCATTAAACATAGACTACATACATAACACAATTTGACAAGATGACATTTTATAAATACATAAGGCAAGAACTGAGTAATACCCATGAGTTACCTATTCAGACATACATTTTATTTTTTAAACTTGCCTTGAAAATGATAAATGGTCTTGTACATTTAATATATTTTGCAAGGTAAGAGGATTATATAAGTTAGTTCACATGTAATGATCAGTCATATAAGATTCTTTCTGAACATATGATATTATAAAGCCACAAAATACTGGAAAATGGTGAAAATGAAATCACCATGTGGCAGAAAATTTGTATACTTAAACTTGCACAGTAATTTTATTGGGGCATGGAATCTGGATTGACCTTCTTCAAGTCGTAAACTGCAACAAAATAACGTTTTATATATATATATCTCTGTTCTGTTGAAGTGTTATAACAAATATTAATTTAATATATACTTGTTCAGTGATATCAAACTGTCCATCTTCATCATAATACCCTGCCTTCCTCAGTTTCTCATGTACAAGGTCGGCATACAACACGGCACCACCACATGTGTCCTCAGTCAGTTGTTGAACTAGTGGTAATGCATCTATCAGGTCAGGCCAGTCTAAATTCTTCCAAAATTCTGTCATCTAAAAATAGATATTGAAGATGTATAGCAAAAATCAAAGTGGCTTGTAAGTAGTGTATGCTATGTGTAGTTTACTTTCATGATTCACTCTCAATATAAATTTAAATTTACTTTTAAATATATTTTCAAAATTTTCATTAAAATTAGCATGAATCTGGAGGCATGCTGCTTTAAAACAGACCCATACACTAGTTTAAAAACTTTTTTTTTTCAGCATTAAATATTTCAATATTTCACAATGTTGTTGACAATCCTTTACATAGAGATCAGAATGCATTCATACTACAAAGTAATAAAATAGTAGAAACTATTTGTAAAATTTTGACCTACTTGTGAGAAACAGCAGCAGACGTCAACAGCAGATGTACTATATCTTACCCCACTCTTCACATCCACAGTCTAAAAATAGAAAATTCATCATTTATGTAACTTCCTACTATTGTGACCAAAATTATTGGAATCAAGATATACTAAAATCTATTAAATAAGCATCGATAACAATTTGATAACAAAATAAGTTTTGAAATGTGTAGAAAAAAATCTCTCTATAATCTTGAAGAACTTAAAGGAACTCCACTGAGGTCCCAAAGCCAAAAAACATAAAATCTGAAATTCTTACATGGACCAAGGATGATATGCAAAAGTAAAATAAGAAATTGTATTTTTTTTTTAACATTCTTAGTCTGATTTGAGTGAAAAGCTTTGCAACACTTTTCAACTTTTGTTCTTTTTTTCCAATTATAATAATTATTCTGGAAAAACGAGTGAGCGAATGATCTAAAATTTTTCACGTAAGATATTTATGTAGATCTTCATCAAATGAAACACATCTTGAAAAATATTTTCCAGCCCCATCATATCAAAATACCTCAGTAGAGTCCCTTTAAGGTAAATTGAATATGACAATTGTTCAGATATATATATAATAAAACTATAGTATTATTATTTGTTTATTATTTGTTATAAATGTACCTTGTCAAGCTCAACAGCTTTGTGTATTCTCTTGTAGGCCCTGTGTTTAGCAATACGAAGCCATTTCTCTACAGCAAATCTAAACCACTGATAGAACTGGCAGATGGATAAATCCTTCTTTATACTGCGATTACAGAAGACAAACAAACAGTAAAATATCACATGATTATACATGTATGGCTTATTTTACTATGACTTAACTGCTGACATTTCTTTAATTACAGTAAATGTTGTAACTTTTATGTTAATTTTAAAGCTACAAAAGAGAGCTGAACAAGTACAATAAACTTAAAATTGGTAATTTTTAGAATTATTAAAAACATGATGAACGAGAGCTGTCCAAGGAGTAGGGTGCTCTTTTTTTCTCTCAGTATTGGATAGAAAAGTGGTTATAGCCATGTTTGCATTAAAGTTACTGATGATTAACTAAACCCAAAAAGATAAACCAACACTGACGAGTGAGTCATAGAAATAGCTCTAAAAATGACTAAAATAACTTGTACAACAAACACCAAATTTTAAAAGTTAAATAATTTAGTTGAAGTCCATGGCAAGAGGAGCTGATGGCATACAAAAAAATCCCAAGGAAGTTTAAATCCTGACATGGAAGTCAATGTTGACACTGGGTCAGAGAATAGCTCTCTATTTTCTTCAAAAAGTCAAACTAATAGGGAACTAAGTGTTTACCATTTCTATTGAGACCAATAATCAATGAAGAATATTATTTGTAAAATTTAAAGACAATATATCTTACCTATTAGGCAGATGTTCCTTAAACTTGCAGAATTCTTGTAGAGCAAGATACAACTCAAACAGTTGTGTTCCCATGGAGATTACAACACTGTGTTGATCCGGGGAATCATTGTCAACCTTCTCTAACCTTGACAAGGTCATCTGAAGGTCATCATTGACCTCATCACCAAACTGGAGAAAAGTCAAGGATACTTTCAGACTGATACCTTAAATTTCTGTTTAATAAACAATATTTAATTCATTTCATAACAAAAAGCACTATTAAATATTGACAATAACAAAGTCATAAAACATATTAGGTATAAAAAATATAACAAGAGGGCCAAGTTGACCTTAAATTGCTCACCTGTAGTTCAACTGCTTCAATATTGTCTTAACAAATGTACTTGTGCAAAATTAATTTAGACCAAAGTCCTGCTATTTGTATCATACCATCCAATTAATAAGTTTTTTTTGGCATCATTTAACAACTAGAACTGCCACTATCATGGCGTGAATACCCCCGCATACCACTTTGTCAGAATCAACAGTGGCCATTTAGAACTCAAGGACAACCACCCTGCCAAATCTGAGGTGACTAAGCCAGTGCATTGCTAAGTTTTGTATTCTACATGCTTCAAATGTGAAAATGTCAAAATCAATACAATCTGGACAGGCATTGGGGAAAAGCTTTATTTTGACAAGGTCCCTGTGACCTTGACCTTTGACCCAGTGACCTCAAAATCAATACGGATCATTTACTAATCATGACTAACCTCCATGCCAAATATGAAGACTGTGGGTCATAGGAACCTTAAGTTTTTGGGCAGACAAGCTTTTTGAAGTCAAGGCCCCTGTGACCTTGACCTGGTGACCTCAAAATCAATAGGGGTCATCTACTAATCACGACTAACCTCCATGCCAAATATGAAGACTGTTGGTCAAAGGAATCTTAAGTTATTGGGCGGACAAGCTTTTTGAAGTCAAGGCCCCTGTGACCTTGACCTTTGACCTGGTGACCTCAAAATCGATAGGGGTCATCTACTTATCATGACTAACCTCCATGCCAAATATGAAGACTGTGGGTCAAAGGAATCTTAAGTTATTGGGCGGACAAGCTTTTTGAAGTCAAGGCCCCTGTGACCTTGACCTTTGACCTGGTGACCTCAAAATCGATAGGGGTCATCTACTTATCATGACTAACCTCCATGCCAAATATGAAGACTGTGTGTCAAAGGAATCTTAAGTTATTGGGTGGACAAGCTTTTTGAAGTCAAGGCCCCTGTGACCTTGACCTTTGACCTGGTGACCTCAAAATTGTTAGGGGTCATCTACTAATCACGACTAACCTCCATGCCAAATATGAAGACTGTTGGTCAAAGGAATCTTAAGTTATTGGGCGGACAAGCTTTTTGAAGTCAAGGCCCCTGTGACCTTGACCTTTGACCTGGTGACCTCAAAATCGATAGGGGTCATCTACTAATCACGACTTACCTCCATGCCAAATATGAAGACTGTGGGTCAAAGAAATCTTAAGTTATTGGGCGGACAAGAAAAAACCGATGGACGCCGGACGGCCAGACGGACAATCTGATTCCAGTATACCCCCCTTACAACTTTGTTGTGCGGGGGTATAATAACAGGAAGTATCAAAAATATATTTAACCCAAAAAGCCTCAACCTTGATCCTAGTGAAATGAAGTAAGTTATTCTTCTATCACCTTGACCTTGATACCATGAACTCAACCCCCTTCCCACCTTATGGTACATGTTACTCCAGATTTACTATTTACCTATTTAAATTGACCTATTTACTAATCATAAGACACTGTTCGCTACAGAAAATGTAGTAAAATACAGTCTAACTTGCCCATGCGACCACGTGTATTAAGCGACTTTTGTCTTAAACAACCATTTTAAATCCCTCCCGATCATTTTCTCTCTATATCTTTAATGTATTAAGCGACTTGTGTTTTTAGAGAACGCCGCATCGTTAAATGTCAGAAGTGTCAACAATCAAAACACAACAAATAAATGTGTGAAAAACTCTATTTCCCAAACCGTTTTAGCGTAGGTGCAAAAGAAGTTAAGTATACTCGTGACAGGTATTATCCAATAAAATCAGATAAACAATGCAACGCCCCGCCCCTATACTTAGATTGTGTATACGCTTCGCTTGTTGACATCTAGACTGCATTGAATTGACCTTGAACTTGATCAGCAATTAAATTAATCGTAACAATTAGATGTAGTTTGTTTATTTCAAATGAAAAAATGCACAACAGAAAACATTTTCACTAATAGGGTTTTCGTGTTGGAGACAAGGAAAAACAACGGAGAAGTTAAAAAAATTCTGGAAAAATGTCAAACATGTACGTAATGGATCAAAACTGTTTTGTCAATAAATATCAGAAAGTTATTTTTTACATAAGCATCCGTTTAGATTATCGGAGCTTACTAATTATTCAACATTTATATAAATGAAGTTGAAAAACATTCCCACCGTAAAAGAAAGATGTCATTTATAAATTTTGACTTTTATATCATGCTTTGTCTTAAGAGACTGTTTCATTAAGCGAGTACTGTTTTGGGTGTTTCCCTTGCGCGGTCGCTTAATACAAGTTTGACTGTATCTATATTAAGCTCTTGTGACTTTGACCCTAAGTAAATGGTAAAGATTAATACAAGGTGTTTTATACATCATTATGACAATAACTGTAATTCCTGAAACCATCTATATATATTTATAACAGCGCCTAAGGACAAAATAACAACAACAAAAACAACAGCAACAACAGTATAAATGAAGAGACATTTGTAAAGATACATTATACACTGCTAATAAAATACATCACATCTTTTTATATAATAAGTCTTTTTTCTACATCTTTCTGATATAGCCAATATTTCTTTCAATAGAATTTTAGTCAACTAATTCAAAAAATACAAACAATTTAAAGAAATACAAAACAGTTTAATAGTGACAAATTGAAAGTTAGAAAAGCAAAAATATGGGTAAAAAGCTATAGGTAATATTTCAAAAAAGAAGAGAGTTTATCATCACAAAATATATCAATTTGTTCAAAAATTACTTGTATCCATCACTTTAATAACATTTATTCACCAGTAAATACAATTATACTTCTCAAATTGCACAGAAGAAACTGCTTTGTTTTGAAATGATCAAATTAAAGCGTATAGTTATAAGAATGATGTAAAAGTAATTGCAAACTGTATATGCACATGATCTCCCAACTGAAATGTCTAGTCTGAACCAAAATTTCTCAAATAAAACAATCTACAAGACTTGTAAGTTAGCATTGAAATATAATTATACACTAAAGGTGATTCATACCCCCACCAGCAGTCACACCTTTTTGAAAAATTAGTGGTCTGAAGTGAAATATGAACTCAACCTATAATTCATGATGTTTCATCTGTGTTCCAATGATTATTACAATTACTTGCCTATCTTCCAGACACCATTTTTCTATATTAAGTAACAGTGACATTGGCTTTGACCAGGATCAGGAGGTCCGAAAGTAATCCTAACTGGGGTTTCAACAAAAGGTTGCTATATACCAAGTTTGATTACATAACTCATTCCAAATCCAGAAACCATGAAGTGGACCGACTGACAAACTGACTCCTATATTAACCTCTCTTATCTTAGTTTATGAGGGTATAAAGTGTCAAAAGTAACAAGTACACCAGATACAATCAGTGTTAGCTCTATATCTATCACTAAATTTTAGAACTAATTTAAGTGTAAACATAATTATAATATTAATTGACAGCAAGTCAAGTGTTAATTAAACTAAGACCATCACCAGACATTGTGCTAAAAATGCTTCAACATCACCAACAACCACCTTGAGTACTAACCCTTTAAGCTGCATGCCTCCAGATGAGCCAAAATATATCAAGGAAATTAAACTTGAGATAAATGTACACAGATTTCAAAATAAGTAAAAAGATTCAAGAGTAAAGTAATAATTTACATGTTTTGTGCATTAATGACTGATTTTGGAGTATTTATCACAATATTTCTACTGCGTTAGTTAAATTCAGTAAGGGATATAATTCCTTTGTTCACTTCACAATATTTCACTTATAATACGAAATACATCTTTAAAATTTGCATGAAAATTAGCTTGAATCTGCAGGCATGCTTTAACATGTTGATTTTGTAAAAATTAACATGGGAACAAAAATGTTTTCTAACACATTTCAGTTTTCACTATATTAGGATTCAAAATCATGTAAATGGAAATCGTATTAATCATATTAATCAAGAATTGTTTCAAATAATGCTTGACTTTAAAGCTTAAAGGAAATTGCAAAACATTAATAAGAAATCCATTAGTAAATTTGTAACAACCCTTCAATCAATTATATAAGCTTATATTATTGTAAAAATATATTGAGAAATAAAGACTCTAATCCATTTTTATTAAAGAGTTCTCCAGTAAAATGATTCCATTCCAGTAAAGCAGATATAGTACATTTGTACTTATAATGAAATATGTGCATGAGGTAAAATCTGAATATAGGTTAACATAAATGAGCCGCACCACGACAAAACCAACATAATGGGATTGCGACCAGCATAGATCCAGACCATCTGCGCAATCTGATCAGGATCCATGCTGTTCGCTTACAAACCGTATAACAAGTAGTGAAACTGATAGCCAACAGCATGGATCCTGATCAGACTGCGCAGATGCGCAGGCTGGTCTGGATCCATGCTGGTTGCAAACCCATTATGTTTGTTTTGTCGTGACACGGCTCAAATATATTGTAATAACTTCACAAAATACATTTTGCAAACAGTTGCATTACATACCACAATCTCCATATATTATACTTATAACAGCTGTGCCAATTTTAAAACAAATCAAGCCTCACATAATGCACAGAAATCTAATGGCAAAAAAGTAAAACTATCATTACTTGATTCTTTAACCCTTACTAGGCTAATTATTTTAGTTTAGTTCATAGATTTTATACAAATTTATTTTATTTTGCTTGTGTTAGAAACATTTAAAGCTTATTGAAACAGTCTTGAGAGTTAATGTCTAAATTTGACATGTCAAATTTTTCAATCTGTGCAAAACCATACATTATTTTTTAAGGGAAAAATTTCAAACTATTGACAAAATAGCTAACAGCGCACACCATGATCCCACGGCACTGATGAGTCATCTGATCTTGGTGACTGCACCAGTTGCATGTGTTGGTTTAAACAATATTTCTTTTTCCAAATTTTCAAAACAAAATTACAATTAATACATAAATTGCAACTAGGATTGAGAAGAAAGCTTAAAGGCACATAATTCCTCAGAAACAAATAAAAATTTCCATTTCTAGAAAGGGCAAATATGAGTTTGCTTACTTTTAGTAAATTATTTTAGAGCAAGTTAGTTGTTTATTACATGGAGAAAAGTCAGTGATGAATGTGAAATAATTTGTCACAAAAGTAGCAAAATGTAGGATTTCGACTTCCATACAAAATATTAAATCACTATAACCGTACTAATAAAATGCTAAAGTACAACAGAAGCAAAAAGAGAGTTTAGGTAACTGACCAATTAATAACTTCCTGGACACCAAAAATAAAAAGGTTTTGAGAAATGTAATAAAAAGCATTTCTGGGGCATAAATTGTGCCTTTTAAGCTTATATGAAACTCTATCATGGTGATATGTATTAGGAACCTGCTACCACCAGTAGACTAAGGGTTTAGACTAAGCTTGTGGATATTGTACCCAAAATGTACCTGGGAACTTATTTCTATGACAGAATATATATGATATAGAGATTGCAGTCATGTAATATATTCCTGTACAAAGCTTTCAATTACTGACAAATTTTTTTTCAGAATTTTCAAAATAAACTATCGTTTATAGTGATAATAATGAAATTTTGAAATCAGATAACATCACCATATGATATTATCAACATATCATAAATAAATGTATAATTTATAATATCTTTTTTTCTAAATGTTTGTCTGATTGATATATTTTTTTCATGAAAATAATTTTTTCCTTTAAAGTACTACAATAGTACAAGATTGTATGCTGTTATTAAATACAATGTTTTTGTATAGGCAGAAAATTAAAATCTTGTATTGAAAGCTATGTACAGGGTGTGTTAAAAAAAACATGCTAAAAGTGAAAGAATAAAAATCAAAGCAACAGAATTAAATCACAGACCTCCTCTAGTAAACCAGTGTTCACAGTGGCTGAAAGCTGAGTGTATAATCATTCTTCAATGTCAGCTCAAAAATACAAGCTTAATTCATACAAGCTTAATTCATACAATGTCAAACTTAAATCATACAAGCTTAATGTTCATACAAGCTTATTTCATACAAACTTAATCAAATTTTCACAACCTTAATTCATACTAAACAACTAAATAACAAACCAACTGATATGATTTAACTACAATGTATAATATTTTGCTCTAGTGAAGAAAACAAAATTTAAACTATTTGGTCTATTTTGGTTTAACATCTTATCAGTTTCATATTATTTAAAAAGAAATAATAAATGAAAAATAAAGTAATAAAATACCTATCACTCTTTCTTCCAGACATATTAAAGACTTGGTATGAATTACTTGAGTTTTGTTTTTTTAAATATATTTTGTGTCTTCAATAATAGTAATTTTTTATTGATCTGAGTCAGTAGTTTACTCAAAAGACCTAAATTATATTATATTTCCAGGAGTAGTTTTGTTGTTGGGCTTTAACATCGCACCAACACAGTATAGGTCATATGGCGACTATCCAGCTTTACTGGTGGAGGAAGACCCCAGGTGCCCTTCTGTACATTACTTAAGGCAGAAAGGAGCACCTGAGTAGAGAGAATGACATTCCGTAAGCTAGCTGGACTATTATAAAGCTTCCTCACATGAAAGAATCCAAAGTTTGTGTCAGGATTCGAACTCACAGTGATGAGGGGCAAGTGGTTTGAAGTCAACTTCTATTACTACTCCGCCACACATGCTCCCAGTTTTGGTAGTCAATTAACTAATTACTGGGTAGTCAATGAACTATCAGGTATTTCAAAAAACAGCAGGATGGGGTTAATGCAAACCAAGCCAGGCATTCCAGCAAAGAGCACTAAAATCATATGCTCACAAAAGTAACATTAATCTGATTAATCAACTATCTGTTTATTGTAATGTATGTTTATAAACACCAGCATGCTATCCTGCAATTCATTTCAATATTATTTAGATGGTTAAAAAAATTAAATTGCAAACAATTATGACATTTATACATCAATAAAATAAGACTTTTTCTACTCACAAAAATACATTTCAAAATATTAGTATGGGTGAAGGGTTAAAACACCATGCTGGTAGACTTTGGGGGTATACAATTTCAATGAAAACAGTTCAGTTACGAAGAAAATGCAAACCAAGTTTTGGATTATAATGTACTGATTACTCATGCGATGATTTATGTTGAATGTAACATGTTTATGATGTCATCTATGATGTCATTTATGATGTCATATTACATGAGTGACCTATACTAACTGTTTTACTTACCATTTTCTCAACAATTTGATATGTTATTCTGAAGTATTGGACACCAACAATTCTGTAATATAAATCATAATGCATTGTTACAGTAAATTTATATAGCCTAGACAAACTTATACTGTGCATAATCACTGCAAGTAATCCCCCTTATCCATTTAACCTGGCAAAATCCAGAAGTAGAGCAAAATTATGATAATTAAAACTAGTTGGTTAAAGTGATTAAATTAGAGGCTCACATAAAATGACTTTATTCAACTTGTTCAATTACTTCAGTATTGAACCTACACTCATTCAATATCCACTATATATATTGAATATACTCTATACAGTCAACTATCGTTATCTCGACATCGCTTTTCTTGATATTTCGTTATCTCGATGAAATCTTGAAAGTCCCGATTTTCTTCCTTCTTTATCTATATTGGAAATATTTGTTTATCTCGATATTTTTATTTCGATATTTTTAGTATCTCGATGTAAAATTTCAGCCCCAATAGTTATTTTCACACTATTATCCTTTGTTTATCTCGACTAATAGTTTTCTTTCATCTGTTCCCTTCAGACGTGTGAAAAACACAAACTAGACGATAATTGCTCAATAGCGCGTGTCATAATCATGATTATGTTTGTAACAAGTTTAGCTGTTATTATAAAAGTTAATAATTAGCGTGTTGACTTATGTCCAAAATGAGTGAATCTTACATTCTTTATAAATAATTGTACACTGTATCAATTCATTATGACTTTAAATGTAAATGAAATAGTAAAAGTATAGAAATGCTATCGTTGCAATATTGTTTCACAACATCACCTCCAAATCAATCAGCCGTCGAACAATCTCAAGAAAGACCCGATAAATAACCCTGGAGGATTATCTGAATCAACCACCCAATCACTATATTGGTGTATTACTGAGTAAACCTCACTATGTGATTTTATCGCAGGCACCCGTATTTCCGCTGGTTAACATCCGCAAATGTTACTTTGTTAAATATTGACTAGGCCTATGGAAACAAAACATGGGGATATCATAGTTTATTTGACATAAGGTATGCACATGTCTTTTGTAAAAATCAGTTTCTGCATTATTAAAACCCTAATATGTTTATCTTGACATTTCGTTATCTCGATATTTTTTGGACGGTCCCGATGACTTCGAGATAACGAGAGTCGACTGTATATATAGAAGTAGTAACTTACTGTTCATAAAGTTTAGTGTAAAAGATGACGGCATGATGAAGGTCTGTATTGAGCAGGTTCGTCAGTTCCAGTAGGCCCTGTATAATATCTTCCTCTGTATCAACGTGCGTATGCTGTCGACAGCGCTTGTGAGTACGATCATACCACTCCAATGTACTTTTCTATATATAAAATAACAAGAACTGTTCCTGAAACATTATTAGGTATAAATTTTTTTGACTAGCAACGATTTATATACAGCCATATAACCTATTGTTAATCTTTATAACAAATCTATGCACAGCAAACTTCCTTTATTAAAGGAAAAAAGGAATTTCTTTATAAGTTGACAGCAGCATTTATATAGTTTATATAAACGTCAGGATTATCCAATGAAAACTGACGTTACAAACATGCTGTATTGTAAGAATGACAGTATATTCCTCTACTGACAGCCAATTAGTGGTGTGTAACCAACCTAATTTACCAGTATATACTGACAACCGGATAGTTTGATCAGCTCTTCCTAATATTTTGAATATTCATCGTAAAAATGGGTAAAAGACAGAAAAAGGCCAGGTTGCATTTGTATACCAAATATCATAAGGCTGTGATGTTACAAACAATGTTAACCATTGACTATTAATGTCAAAAATTCAACTAAGTCAGTAAACAGGAAGTGGATAAGCGACAAAACTGAAATCAAATCCAACAGTATGGGACTATGACTTGTGTTTATGCTGTATACCAAATATCAAGAGACTGTAGAAAACTGTTACGAAAATTTCTTACCATTCACCATTAATGTTGAAAATTTAACTAAGTTGGTAAACAGGAAATGGATGAGCGACAGGTCTGAAATCGAATCCCACGGTATGGGACCATTGAGTGTTGATGCTGCATACCAAATATAAGGGGGCTGTGACAAGTAGTTGCAGAAAAAAATGTTACAAAAATATTTTCCAAACCTGCCCGCCACAAGACATTCACCATTTTATAACCCGAGTTTGCACCTGTTCTTTCTGCATACAAAATTAATATAATTATAAATGGTTGACTTATAATATATACTTAAACAGCCAGTTACAATGCTTCCAGACAATGTTTGTTTGTTGTTTGGGAATCCACTTTTAATGCCAATATTAAAATGCTTTTGTTTCAATCTGGGCAGTGACATTCCGCAAAACTGGCTTTCCTGAATCACTTACCAGTAATTACCAATTTCTCCACTAACTTTTAATCCCACATGATATTTGAATTAGCTGTGAGAGTTAAATGACCGTTACACACAATGTCCAAGATCTATTGTCATGGAGAAATCATGGCTCACTTGAGGATCTAACCAGTAACCCACAACTACTAATTGAGTTAAGTTTGTTTGTTTGTTTGTTTCATTTTACGCCTTTTCCCAACAGTATTTCAGTCATATAGGCAGGTAGTTTTCTAACCATTGTTCCTAGAGAGTTACACCAGTACCAGACTACCTTCCTCCGCGCTAAACTACCAAAGCATCTCCCGGGGATCGAACCCACGCCAGAGAGGTAACTGGATTAGAAGTCATCGACTCTAACCCCTCGACCACGGAGGCGGTTTAAGTGGGCAGACACAAAAATCAATGCAACAAGAGTATTGTCAAGATTCTAGGAACATTTTCTCTCTTACATATTACTAAAATCAATTTCTATACATGCAAATCATAAAGCAATCATATAAAAATCATGCTTATTTCCCTTCTGCTTTCATTTGTTATATGATTTAGCCAATCATTGTCATGTTTAAACTAATGAGACAGAAGAGAAAGTTTGACAGGGGGACAGATAATCAAATCAAATATGTCAAGATTTCTCAGAAAAATGCTACAGTAAGAGAAACTTCCACATAGTTTTTATATGAAAAATCATTGTTGGAAGGCAATTATTGCCTTCTTAGAACATTGTTTCCAATTTTATACCTACATTACTAATAAATGCCGAAAAGTCATGTTTTTCATTAGTTACTGTGCAAGAGCAAGATTCAAAATTAAATTCTTTTTTTTTTACAACCTAGTAACATAGTAAACAACATAAATATGTTGTATATTGTATGTTTTATTTTGGTCCAGCTGCAATTGACACGGGTGACTGTCAGGTTTTTCTGTTGTTAATTGGAAGATAATCTCAGAAACCAGTCTGTGGGTAATTTTCTAGACATAAGTAGATACTAGTACCAGTCATGATTAAAAATAATGCCAGCCCATCACATTATGCTACACACTGATCTGTCATGTGTTTCCTCAGGAAAGGATTTTAAAAGATTTCCTTATTTAAAATCTACATTTATTTAAGCTCCTGTGATTTTAGATATGTGACAATCTCTAATCCGCTTATATAAACATGGTAGGGCTTCAGGCAATTAACATCCAAATCAAGCCTCGTTAATTTCTGGTCTCGTTTTGGTAAAGATGGTTTTTGAAACAAATGTAGAAGACAGACAGCCAAATTACCCTTTCAGCTCACAGTCAAGCTCTATAATTTGTTTGTTTTTATTTTCACATGACACATACCTTTATAACATTTGTAATCTCAGGATGGAGTTCCTTGTGGAAAGGACATGTCCATTTAAACACTTCTAGTGAGTAAATTGCAGCGAGGCACTGTAGCATCCCATCGAGACGGAGCATTGCTTGACGGTTGTTCACTGGAAACGCATCTCGTTGTTTTTTAATCAGGGTCAGGGAATGATTGATAAAGTGTGTGAAGGATTCAGCAAGGCACTCCTCCTGGTAAATATAGTAACAATAGATCTATGTTAGACTTGACTTTTGTTAAATCAGTAAAAACAAACTTAAACACATGAAATCTTATATTGTTAGCTTGAAACTAAAAAGATTGTGTTTTCATAATAGAATGTTTTCTATTCCAGGGTTCATACAGACATCCAATGTCAAAATTTCAGCACTTTTTAAGCACGTTTTCCCATTTTTCAAGCACATTTTGTTGCACATATATCATTTGTGACCAATGATAAAGTAACTTTAAAACTTTTTAAGACTGTACGAAACCCTGCGTAATCCTTGTAAAAAGATATGATTTTAAATGCACATCTTTGTTCAAGTTTGCATACTAGCGAATGAAGTTTATATATAATGCACAAAAAGCTGTTTCTTGCTTTAATTTATATGGCTAAAATAGAAAAACAAGAACAAATTGTCAGAAAAATTATAACAAACAAAACGTGATTTAAAGAAATCAACAAGAGTTGTCATGACCATTGACATTGTGAACTTGATTACTTTGATATTGAATAGTGAAAAATGGTATCACTAAATAAAGATGCCTCTTAAAATGAAGATGAAAAATTTAAAAAATGTATTGCATCACCAGTATTATAGTAAAACAAAAATTGTCAGCCGTGTCACGACAAAACCAACATAAAGGGTTTGCGACCAGTATGGATCCAGACCAGCCTGCGCATCCGCGCAGTCTGATCAGGATCCATGCTGTTTGCTATCAGTTTCTCTACTTGTTATACGGTCTGTAAGCGAACAGCATGGATCCTGATCAGACTGCGCGGATGCGCAGGCTGGTCTGGATCTATGCTTGTCGCAAACCCATTATGTTGGTTTTGTCGTGACACGGCTCATTAATGTTAGTGTATATGGAACATAACACAATCATCAAATAACATAAAAATTATTACTTAGCATATTAGTGAAAGTCTATATTAAGAGGCAGGATCATGACTTTTCTACTTTTTGGCAATCATCATGTAGCTTATTTTGGGTCAGTTTCACCATTAGGAATCATTAATAATTGGGTTTCACATCATTTAAAGAAACAATGCCCTGCATCTTTTTTACATCATCGAAGGACATGATTTGTGTTAAGCTTCACCACAATAAAGTTAACATGTTTATGTCATTTAAAAGAATGAAACAAATTTTATTTATAACTTTGCGTTTATAGCCATAACTTACTGAATATTACAGCATAATTGATAAATTAAAATGAAAGCAATCTATATAATAATTAAAGCCTCAGTGACCTTGACCCCCACTGATTTTCAAACCACACCATAGGGTAGAAAACAATGCAACGCTTATTTGTTTTACCCTGATTTTAACATATTTTTGGTCATATCTTGACAGTTTGTCCACCTGACCAGCTTTCCTTGATAACTTACCTGTAATTACCTATTTCTCTGCAAGTAACCGACCAAATAATAAATCCCACATGAATTTTGAATCAGCAGTGTCAGAGACAAATGGCAACGAGACTCACTGTCCCTGATCCTGATTAATTGTCATGTAATGATGTACCTACGCAATGAATTTTTTATTTAAGAAAAAAAAAACAATAAAGTCTGTATTAAATTTGATGATGCTAAATGCATGACAAATTTTGACAGTAGAGTTTTGATATATGATTAAATTAGGAAGAGGTTCAGAAGAATAAATATCAAAGCTGTATGCCAAGATTCTCCTGAGAAGATTTCACTTTTTAAATCTGTTTTTTTTTTACTTCCTGTCACTTTTAGATAATGCATTTGAACAAATCTAGTAGCATTTCATGCATGGATTATATTAATTCCTGGCAATTTTTATTCAGTTTGGCCTGAAGGCTTGCATGCAGTACTGCCACCTATAAACAAGCTCCATCAAACCAAGCCTTCTTCAATTTTGTCATTCTTGGCAAACTTTACTGACACAAATCTGACACACAGCCATCTAGCATGATCTACCCAAGATTTAAATTTCATAAACACAATTAGGTCAAGGGAAATACAATGAGCAAGGTTAATGACTTAAAAGACAACTTTACACAGGGACATAAATGTATCAAAATATTTCCTGCCAAATAAGCAAAGTTGTGTGGGGAAAGTGGCACAAATACACTACTCTGTTTTACATAGTGCAAAATAACAAACACTGGATTAGAGGGAACACACAAGGAAAGGCAATAAAAGTACATTTAATTTATCAAATATTAGTATATTAAGAATTAAATCTTAGAGGTAAATATAATAAAACACAAGAAAAGTTAGTTTTGTTCTGTGTGACATCTTGTTTTTTGGGGATAGATCATCCCCTTAAAGGGACTCACTCAACTGAGGTTTTTAGACACAAAAAAGGACTAAAAATATTTTTCCGAGGTTTGTGTACTATTTGTTGTAGGTCTCAACCATTAGCTTGTGTGCACATTGTCAAATCATTCTCTCACAACGTTGTTCCAAAATTTTATTTTTTTTGCAGAGCAAACTGACCTCAGTGGAGCTCCTATAAGTGAAATATCTTAAATGGATTTGTCCATCTTTCAATCATACATCATTTTTTTAGGAAAAATTTCAAAACATGTGCTAAGATCAGAGAATTCACAGTTTTGCCTGCTGATTTTGGTGTGCACTGTGTGCACAGATTGCACATGTACATATTGTACTATCTGCTGAAAGACCAACATTAATACTGTATAATCTTGGCAGAAATATTTTTTTTATATATAAAAGTCCTGTCTTGGCAAATCTTTTAATTTTTTGTTTTTTGTTTTCAATTTCAATGAACATTTTGCTTGAAAAAAAATCAATACAAAAATTCCAATTCGACTAATGAGAGGATTTCTATTTAATTAAAACAATAGTCTTGCACATTTACAGAATTTTACTAGATTATAAAGATTAAAATAAGCTAATCTTTGTGTAATTTAAAAGTCCAATTATCTCTCTTTATAATGCTACATTTTCAGTTCTGTCAGATATCAGAGAGATTAGGTTTTGTCAAGGGAATAATTATCTAACAAAATCAGGAATACAAAATAAACTTTGTGACAGCAGGCTGACAATGTAAACATCTAAGTCTGTAATCTGATGGTAATGCAGATTGGTCACTTGTTTTTGTTCCATATTAAGTCACACAGCGATAGGATTAATGTCAAACGACTACTTTCAGGCCTAACTGGTAGGATAAGACCAATGTTGCCTCTTTTGCAGTATTCCAGAAACAAGGGGGCACCCCAGCAGAACTACTGACTTTCCATATGTTAGCTAGATCGCATCCTCACATGAAAGAATACATAGTCTATGGTAGGATTTCCACCCACAGCAGAGAAGGCAAATCACTTGAAGTGAATGGCATTAATCTCTTGGCAGTAAAACCTGTCAGGCTTCAAACTCTGCTGCCCAGTAAAACCTGTCAGCCTTTAAATCATACTGCTCAGTAAAACCTGTCAGGCTCAATTTTTCTGCCCAATAAAACCTGACTCCAAACTCTGCTGACCAGTAAAATCTTTTAACCTGAAAACTTTTCTGCCCAGTAAAACCTGTCAGGCTTCAAACTCTGCTGCCCAGTAAAACCTGTCAGGCTTCAAACTCTGCTGCCCAGTAAAACCTGTCAGGCTTCAAACTCTGCTACCCAGTAAAACCTGTCAGCCTTTAAATCATACTGCTCAGTAAAACCTGTCAGGCTCAATTTTTCTGCCCAATAAAACCTGACTCCAAACTCTGCTGACCAGTAAAATCTTTTAACCTGAAAACTTTTCTGCCCAGTAAAACCTGTCAGGCTTCAAACTCTGCTGCCAGTAAAACCTGTCAGCCTCCAAACTCTGCTGCCCAGTAAAACCTGTCAGCCTTTAAATCATACTGCTCAGTAAAACCTGTCAGGCTCAATTTTTCTGCCCAATAAAACCTGACTCCAAACTCTGCTGACCAGTAAAATCTTTTAACCTGAAAACTTTTCTGCCCAGTAAAACCTGTCAGGCTTCAAACTCTGCTGCCCAGTAAAACCTGTCAGGCTTCAAACTCTGCTACCCAGTAAAACCTGTCAGGCTTCAAACTCTGCTGCCCAGTAAAACCTGTCAGGCTTCAAACTCTGCTACCCAGTAAAACCTGTCAGGCTTCAAACTCTGCTACCTAGTAAAACCTGTCAGGCTTCAAACTCTGCTGCCTAGTAAAAACCTGTCAGGCTTCAAACTCTGCTACCCAGTAAAACCTGTCAGGCTTCAAACTCTGCTACCCAGTAAAACCTGTCAGGCTTCAAACTCTGCTACCCAGTAAAACCTGTCAGGCTTCAAACTCTGCTACCTAGTAAAACCTGTCAGCCTCCAAACCCTACTGCCCAATAAAACCTGACTCCAAACTCTGCTGACCAGTAAAATCTTTTAACCTGAAAACTTTTCTGCCCAGTAAAACCTGTCAGGCTTCAAACTCTGCTACCCAGTAAAACCTGTCAGGCTTCAAACTCTGCTACCCAGTAAAACCTGTCAGGCTTCAAACTCTGCTGCCTAGTAAAACCTGTCAGGCTTCAAACTCTGCTACCTAGTAAAACCTGTCAGGCTTCAAACTCTACTGCACGGTAAAACCTGACAGGCTTCAAACTCTGCTGCCTAGTAAAACCTGTCAGGCTTCAAACTCTACTGCACGGTAAAACCTGACAGGCTTCAAACTCTGCTACCCAGTAAAACCTGTCAGGCTTCAAACTCTGCTACCCAGTAAAACCTGTCAGGCTTCAAACTCTGCTACCCAGTAAAACCTGTCAGGCTTCAAACTCTGCTGCCTAGTAAAACCTGTCAGGCTTCAAACTCTACTGCACGGTAAAACCTGTCAGGCTTCAAACTCTACTGCACGGTAAAACCTGTCAGGCTTCAAACTCTGCTACCCAGTAAAACCAGTCAGGCTTCAAACTCTGCTGCCCAGTAAAAACCTGTCAGCCTTTAAATCATACTGCTCAGTAAAACCTGTCAGGCTCAATTTTTCTGCCCAATAAAACCTGACTCCAAACTCTGCTGACCAGTAAAATCTTTTAATCTGAAAACTTTTCTGCCCAGTAAAACCTGTCAGGCTTCAAACTCTGCTACCCAGTAAAACCTGTCAGGCTTCAAACTCTGCTGCCCAGTAAAACCTGTCAGGCTTCAAACTCTGCTACCCAGTAAAACCTGTCAGGCTTCAAACTCTGCTACCCAGTAAAACCTGTCAGGCTTCAAACTCTGCTACCCAGTAAAACCTGTCAGGCTTCAAACTCTACTGCACGGTAAAACCTGACAGCCTCAAAACCTTCCTGCCCAGTTAATCCTGTTTACCTTAAATACATGTTTTTTCTACCTAGTAAAACCTGTCAGGCTACAAACCTTCTGCCTGATTTTGCAAGGCACTTTGAACTTATTACCCCCGATAATATTCTTGCGTAACATTTGAAAAACCAATGAGTGTATGACAAAAATGGAAAAAAGTTCCTTTTTTTAGTAACTGAATACCATAAAAATGTTTTATTTCCTATCACAACTGATACACTACAGGAAATGCTCTTATGTTAACTTGGTATGATACTGAGTGATAAATGTATTCCCATAACAACAAAAGTCAATAAACATTTCACCCTTCACGCATTCCACTGTAATAATGTTTCTATTATCAGTTAGAACAATCATGGAAATGATTCCCATTTGAATTTGTATCCTGTTTAGCCATGAAAAAGTCAGCCAAAAATGGAAATGTTATTTACATATTCATGAATGATACAAGATATATTTGGGTGAGAAGTTCAACAAAAAAAACAACAATTTACTATGCCAAAAGCTTTTGGCAAAGTGAACAGGTTACTTCTCTTAAATGGCTTCCTACATTTGGACAAAGACAGGTATATCATTTTATTGATTACAGAAGTAAGAGGTTTTGGATTTTAATTGTATCAGAATTAAACAAGTCACATGAAACTGTCACAAAACAAGGTTTGCTGCCAGTATTTACAAATTAAGGGAAAAAACACAAAACTTGAAAAGGTCATAATTCTGCCAAAAATGATCAAATTAATAATCCTGACAATATATGCATTAGGCACTTGATAACAATCTTTCTATCACATTTGGAAATCCCTTGAGATATGCTGGAGTACATGCAATTGTCAATATCTAATAATTATTATTATAACCCAATCCATTTGAAAACTAAGAGGCCTTGTAAAATATTGTAAGACAATCCTTTTTTTAAACAATGAAGCCTTGTGAGATATTGTAAGACAATCCATTTGTAAACAAAGAAGCCTTGTGAGATATTGTAAGACAATCCATTTGTAAACAAAGAGGCCTTGTATAATATTGAAAGACAATCCATTTGTAAACAAAGAAGCCTTGTATAATATTGTAAGACAATCCATTTGTAAACAAAGAGGCATTGTAAAATATTGTAAAACAATCCATTTGTAAACAATGAAGCCTTGTAAGATATTGTAAGACAATCCATTTGTAAACAAAGAAGCCTTGTAAGATATTGTAAGACAATCTATTTGTAAACAAACAGGCCTTGCAAATTATTGTAATACAATCCATTTGTAAACCAAGAGGCCTTGCAAATTATTGTAAGACAAATCTATTTGTAAACAAACAGGCCTTGCAAATTATTGTAAGACAATCTATTTGTAAACAAAGAGGCCTTGCACATTATTGTAAGACAATCCATTTGTACACAAAGAGATCTTGTAAATTATTGAAAGACAGACCATTTGTACACAAAGAGGTCTTGTAAATTATTGTAAGACAATCCATTTGTAAACAAAGAGGTCTTGTAAAATATTGTAAGACAACCCATTAGCAAACAAAGGATGTAAGCTGCTCCAGATTACAAAATATGGTTAAAACTTGTACAAAACATGGTTGAAACTTGTACAAAACATGGTTAAAACTTGTACAAAACATGGTTGAAACTTGTACAAAACATGGTTGAAACTTGTACAAAACATGGTTGAAACTTGTACAAAACATGGTTTAAACTTGTACAAAACATGGTTTAAACTTGTACAAAACATGGTTTAAACTCTTATGAAGGACAAACACTCATTACAAGGAATAGACTATTAGTACATGGATACATATCACACGAAGGTCTCATATCTACCTTTAACTTGACTCCCTGAGTATTGATAGAACATATTTGTATTAAATGAGTTGTACAACAAATATACAAACATATTTTAACCAAAATAACATTCAGTGAGTTTGTTTATATATTATAAATGGTTACATTTTTTTTTCAGAAATAACTTCAAATCATGTTACATTACTCTTAAAGATTAAGAAACAACTTTGTGATTGTCACTATGGGTTTAAAGATGCATATAGATATGGAGTTAATGCACCTTTTTTCCTGCATTAACATCTGCAGAAGCACAAGGACACATGTAATGCACGAGCCCACAAAGGGGAAGGATATTTTAAGTATGAGAGCTACTGCAGATGCTTAATGTATAAAAAGATGTATTAACGCTATTCTTGCATAAAAGTGTACTTCTGATTTAGAAATTCCATGATTTCTTATGTGTTTTACTTATGAAAATAGTGATTCTGTATTGCTTTTAACATGCATTTGACAGTTACGTTTTGATAATAAAATTACAAGGGCTGTCACTGCAGTCTTTATATGGCTGCCTTGGATTCAGGCATATAAAAATATGTGTAAGAATGGCAGTATGCTTGCTTGAATTTATCAGTAAATGCATGCACAGTTTTATGCAAAAATTAGTGTTAACTTCAATTCTTCTTTAAAACAAACTTTATAAATAGGTATACCGTATATTCAAAAACTGTTCTCTTTTAATTAGTGGCCAAGCAATAAAAACTTTTATAAGGACATTATATTCTAATGGGTAATGTAAAAAAAAACAACAACTAAACATCTTATGTGACTTTTCAAACGTATGTGAATATGCAACTTCTACAAAACTGAAAAAAAAAATTCTATCCAAAAAAGTTCTGTGCAAAAATCGAAAAACATGTGTTTAGTAAGGCTGGTAACATGTATACTTTGTTTGTTCATTATAAAAATATTTTGTGAAACAACAGTTATCTGGTGCAAAAAACAACACAAGATTCTCTTTGAAAATGTTTGTGAGTGTTGCTTTCTTACCAATGTAAAGAGGTAAAGCTGCAAATTTTTGATAAAAAAAAAGAAAAGAAAAAGTGGAATTATTTATATATTTTTATCATTTCTTATTTTCTTAGATTTTGTTATTGTTCCTTTTTTAAACACATTCTCTATGAAAGACTGGTAAAGTAGTAACACATCATAACACGCTTAATGGCTTCACAACATTCAACTATTAAACAGATAGGCTAGTCAAGTGCATTGTTACACAATATATGCTTACACGTCATAAAACGTCAGATATGACATCAATAAACCAGATGATGTCAGGAAAATTTCTCCTACACTCAATGTATAGGTCAACATATTTTTATCAATTCTCTTTTTTATTAGCATGTTAGAATGGATAAAGATATTAACTTTTGTGCAATATACATGATATAGTATAATCATGCACGCTTTTCATTCAAATACTTTGTAAGAAATCACTCAGGCAATTATTGGCCTACGTGAGCAATTCCTACACATTTGAAGCGTGCATTATTCTATAACAATGCAATCAGAATTGATATCTATTTCCTGAATGTTTCTGGTAATAATCTGTTTTCTTAATATAATAATCACTTCCTGAACCTAATTCTGATGAGGACAAATGAGATCCAACATTTCACTGACCTAGATACATTATCAGACAACTTCACTAGTCTTGAAACGTAATTCTTTAAACAGCTGATGACAAAAACTTTAATTCACACATTGTATGATATTTATGAAATTACGTTGTATTTAAAATTTTGAATGCATTTTATCCAATAAAAACATAAAGATCTTAATGAACATTTTCTTTACAATCAAATAAATATAAATTCATATCAAAATTTCTTCTTGACATATATAGGACCTAAAACATCGAATGTACCATTTAGTTATATCTAAAAAAACTTGATATAGTCACTGTGAAGGTATCATAGTAAAAGTTTGGTTGTACTTCAGGATTAAATGGGGGGAAAACCCACACTTGCCAAGGTATAGATGACATTATTTTACTCATTATCTTTCTGGCATACAAATTATTATTGAATTAAACAAGAGTTTAATCATTATATCTATTATTACGATTCAATATGATAATTTACTGTACATCTCAGCAATACAACATAAAACATGACAACAAGACTATTAATTAGGCTTTATTTACCTCCTCCCGGGAGAGTGAAGTTGGTTCCCACAATTTGTCAAGCTCCTGAAGGAGACTGAGCAATAACTGATAATCTAACGGGTGGTCATAGTGCTTACGGCTGTAGGCCATCCAGCGACTAAATATCAATAGAAAAAAAGAAATATATAATAATGTCAGCATAATTGGAAAACATGTAAAAGTGAATTGGTCTACAAAGGGCACAATTTCCAAAAATAATTAAAATGTTGTTAAAAACAATAGAAATGTATCATTTGAATATTCTTATGGCTAATCACTTTTGGTTCCAGCAAGTTTATGATGGGCTTTTGAAGAAAGGTTGGTGTAACTAAAATTTCAGTACTTAAAACCGCATTAAGTCTGTTATACTTGTTTTGCTTTAATGTTAATTTGGCCTTGACATTTGGCAGAGACTGTATTGCAGTATTTCATTGACATATGGATTCTCAGGATAAATCAAATGACCATAGGCCATATGTTTGTGAGATGATCAATCAAGATCAGTCTAGACTGTGGATGCCACAGATCACTCTGAATGATTAACTGACAAAACAAGCAGCCATATATACTCATTACTCACCTCAATTTGTGTAATTATAAAAAAACGAAAAAAAAACATCATTACTGCTATCAATCATTTAATTGCTGCAGATGATGCACAAGATCATATTGCACAAATAAGTCATAAGGTTACCTACAATGATCTTATCCCTAACCCACACAAAATATCTTAAATGAACTTGTACAGTTTTTTCAATCTGGATAAAACCAATCATTATACATGTATTTATGGAAAAATTTCAAAATAAAATGTATGTACCGACTGAATAGTTGACAGTGCAGACCATGATCAAATGGCGCGGACACGCTGGTACACACAGAATCTTTTACCATCATGTCATGCATACATTAAATTTAAATCTTTGATTATCCTTGATGGTTTTTAAACTTCATAATACACAAGGGGCATGACAATTCTCATCCGGCCAAGACTAGAAGAAGATTTTTAAATACTTTCATAAAATATGATTTTCGTATAGATTTGTAAATATTTTGCATATCTAAGTGCCCCAAATGTGATGTTTTTAGGTTTTTAGACATCAGTGCAGCTCCTCTTATAAAAAAAACTTTTGTACAGCATTTGTTTTACTTCAATCGTGTAGGAAGTTATAGCTAAAAGGATATACCTTTCAATTTGTTCCTTGACCAGTAAATGTTTGTCCCTGAAGGGTTTGAAACCACAAGACCAGCAGGACACTTGGCCACATCAAATGTTCAAATCAAACAAAAAGTTTTGGAGATGTTGTTCAAAGAAATTGTGGATGATATATGACAGTAAAAGGACAATTCACATCAGGTGATCACAGAAGCTTTCTTTTGGCACAGGTGAGAAGAAAGATCATTTTCTTTCTAGACATGTTTTTTTTTTGTCACAAACCATTATAAATATCGAGTTCTAGTTTTACTTATTATACAAATATATAAACAGGTATATCAAAGAAAAAGGGATGTAATTACCAGACAGCTTGTTGTACAGGAGTGATGTCCCCTTGTACAGCATGTTGGTGAATGATGGTCTGTGCAGCTTGAGGAAGTTCTCCATGCCAACGATACGACCCCTCCTGTAATCAATGTATTATTGAAATAAATATGTTATAATTTGAAAATGACTAATATTTTTATACATGTATTAAAATGAAAAACTGTAGACTGTTGCTTTAAATGCATCCATTCCAGATTTTCATACAGTATGTCAGGTAAAACATGCAACACAATGTCTTTGTCAATGTAATGAAAAGAGTAATAGAAACAGCACATGACTATCTGATTTGTATGAGGGGGCATAGCATACCCAACACACAGTGTGGTAACTAGAGTCCAGGTTACTAATACATGCACTCCAGTTAACACACTGTGCATGTATGGGTATAAGATTTAACTCTGACACCTTTTAAATAGAAAGGTATCCAAACTATGATACAATGTCTCTTAATGACTTGATGATATTTCTTTAAATACTTAAGAAATCTTTGAATGACTAAATAAATCTTTAAATAACCAATGAAAATGACACTATAGAATGTTAAAATTTGGAAACCAATATTATAAATAGGAAAACATTACAGAAGTCAACTCTCAAGTTAAAACTTATAAATGTATTAAAAAATGTACTTTATTCATAAAAACACAATATGCCAACTCCAAAAGTCTTCATCAGATAAAGAGGACATAACTGTTCACTACCTTTTGCTAAAAGTTTTAATATTGAGATGTTGTCATTAGAGAGTACTCACAGTTTGCAAAACTATCCCTTACCTTGCACTTTCTGACCTCATGTTCTATGAATATGCTAATCAAGTCCTCATGTTGTCTCACATCTGTCCAATTGTCATCTTCTGGTATCCCACGATCCTCTCTGGTTGCTAGGGCCAACCGTAACCTAATTTGACCTTCAACATTTGACTTTGCTGTTCTACCTTGGAGTTGGTACCATTTCTCATGACCAGATGAAGGTATGTCCTAAAATAGAATTAACAAACGTGCAGTCTGATCAGGATCCATGCTGTTCGCTATCAGTTTCTCTACTTGTAATACGGTTGGTAAGTGAACAGCATGGATCCTGATCAGACTGCACGTTTGCGCAGGCTGGTCTGGATCCATGCTGGTCACAAACGCACTATGTAGGTTTTCTCATGGCACGGCTAAATTATTATAATTATTCACAAAAAAAAACATATTATTATCTTGGATTATTATAATTACATTTTTGGATCGCCAGAATAATATTAAAACAATCATAATATCACCTCCTTACCACAATGATGTCTTGGCCATGTAGTGATCATCATAGCTCGACTTTTTCTTCAAAACAGACATTAGCTAAAAAAATGACCCTTATCCATATCATTCTATCGAACATCAAAATGACAATAAACAGACGGCATTTCAACCATCTTGCATTATTCATGGCAACAATTTGCCATCATCTTAAAAAACTTCTCGGGCACCATTCATTTGTCGGGATTCATTAGCAGACGAAAGAACAAATACATTTTTTTTATGGCTACATTAAGACAAATTGTTTACTGTGTCACAATTATAAGGATTCTATTTACATGTTCTTCACATCGTTCTAAATGATTTTTCACATTGGAGACAGAAACACTTCAAACATGATTGGTGACGGAATCGTGCTATCATTTGATGGAAAAGATGATGCTTAAGCATGATGACTAAATATTTCTTAGCATAAAATTGATGGAAAATTATAAATAGATTAAAAAAAACAAGCCACACAAACACTAACATTCAGTAATTATTTATAACAGACATTTTTGCCAGATGCCTTCATCGTTGCAAAATAGAACGATTTTTTAAAAAAGAAAATAGACTGGAACTCAAAGTGACTGAAGCCACCTAAAGCAAACCTTAATTTATGTTTGGCCTTACATGAAATAAAAGGCAACTATAGGAGTGACTGGAAACATTTTTCCCTCATGCAAGAAAATTTCTTCTCTTCTTTCATAACACTACCAATTCTAGACAATTCCACTGAATAAAACAATACCACCATATAATGTAGGAATCTATTAGCGTTATGTAAATCACAAATTCAACATTTTACGAGGCTACAAACACGCTGTTATATCTTCCTCTATACTCTCTACAGGAATAAATTACATGTTTCTTCAATGAAATATTCATACAAATTATTACCTTCTTGCTGAATGGGTTCCTTTATTGCCCTAAATTTAAATCTATTTTCTCTAACAATGCATATTTAATAGCTTCTATTAAGACAGTAAGAAAACTAGATTATGCTGTAGCTTCTATTAAGATGTTAAGAAAACTAGATTATGCCGGTTTATTTGTTACTATCTATCTGTCACATCTTAAGAGTACATGACCTTGGTCAGGATTATCAGGCTAAAAATAGAATAACAGAACTAGAAACAAGCTTACATCCAGAAGAATGTTTATACAGCCCAGAAAGTCGTCCACACTTTTACCACTGCTCTTGCTAGTTCTGGCTGACTGAGCAACTTGCTTAAAATAACGACCCAGGCCTTTAATACCCTGTATCTCATTCAGTTTCTTCGCAGCTTCAATCACAGAAAATTCATCATCATGATCCCAGATGTCTAAATGTAAACTGTCATTTTCCACATCTTCAAGGTCACTGGAAGGTCAAAAAGAAATTATATGGTTGAGAAAGTCATGTGACTAATATAAAGGACATTACAATATGTAGTGTTTCAGAAATTTCAGTTTCAGGCCTTGTGTACAGATGAGTATTTTTCGATTACTTATAAACATGCTTAAGGAAAAACAACAACAAAGGGTCAGGGTACTTAATGACAATCCTTCTGTGAATGTTTGGTTAAAAGTCCTTTGAATACTTATGTAGCAGTTAGGCACACAAGAAATGATTATTGTCGGGTCTGCAAACATTCACAAATCTTTTAACCTGTACATTTTAAGAGTTGTAACCTGTATCCCATCATCACACTACCATGTACAGGAAAGCAGTTTGAAAGAAAGCCTTGAAATGAAATGCAATAAAATAAATTTACTACAAGAAGTTATCACACATTATACATCTTTTAAAAAAGTGACTATGTCCTGTGTATTTAATCTCAACTTACAATCGAAATTTATCATTCCATACTGGATTCAATGTATTAGGGATAACTCTTGTAGTTTGAATATATTTTGCTGGTAAAAGGTCTCTTAGTGCAGCAGATTTCTTTCTTAATGAGAATTTCCTCAAACCACGCTTGTCCTTATCTTTGTAACGTCCCGAGTTTTCTTCATCTGACGAGCCCAGACTTCCGCCCTCCGACCCTTCAAAATTCTCCACCCTGCGGGCAGGCATGATACCCAACATACAATAAGGGTCACTGAAGCCTGTAAATAGATATTATTTTTATGTCTATAATAAGTTTACAAGCTGCATGCCTTCATATGTGCCAAAATATTTTAAGAAAATCAAACTTGAGAAAAATGTAATAAGATTTTTAATAATAGAAGTAAAAAGATTCAAGTAAAGATTTACATGTTATGTGCAATTATTGGCTCATTTAGCACTGCGATTAATGACAGACATTTCAGTATTTTTAAAAACATATTTCTTCTGTGGTAATAACACAGTAAGGGCTATTTTCACATATTTGGACCTCCTTTTGGTAATTTACATGGATTGTAAAACAACTTACTTTTTTAACAGCTCTAACTATTGAAATTGCAACAGAAATACATTGAATTGTGATTTTATATATGCTGACAGTTAATAATGGACATTTCCTGCTAGGAATCTGTCTTATAAAGCTACAAAGTTTGTATTTGTTAGCCTGTGTATGTATACAAATGTCACATGTCTGCTTAAAGCTCAAATACAAAGATTTCATGGGGGCAACTCTATAAATCATTGCTATATCTCCATGGCCAACAAAATGTCAGTCTGCCATTACCAATTTTCATATCCATGTCACCATTTTACTTTACGCCATTGCCAATTTTATAAATAAAGATATGTTTGTTACAGAGTAGTAATTGAAAGTTCATGGTAATGAAGAAGAAGGCAATATTTTCTGACACATTATCTCCTGCAAAAGACAATCTTGTATGTTTCTTAAGTACAAATCAATTTTTTCAATGGATTAAGTCTGTCAGTAAAAATACGCTCTTCCAAGCTAAGCTACAATGTGGCACTAGAGAAACTTAATAATATATATGTCTCTACAGCTGATGTTTAAGGTTTGCCCGAATATCTTCTGAATTCATTAATACATCATTTATAAGAAACTTTCGTCCAATTAGACTTTGTCTAATAATGAAATAATAAATATTTTGTAAAACTGTATCCATGTTAAACATTATTATGGCTAGCACATGAAAATTTTGTTTGCAATATTTATACTAGGAACTTTTATAATATTACAATTATGTAGATCAGTATAAAAATAATGCCTTGCGTAACCACAAGGGACAAACAATCTTATTGGTAATAAAAATTATTATACAACCATTTTCTCTATGGCATATTGTTTTATAATACTGGCACCAGGACACACACTATCAGGTCCTTAATTTTTTTTTTTATCTAATATCTCCTCTCATATATAATTATCTAAAGCACTAAAATAATCTAGAGCACTATAATAACATCTTATACAATAACAATCAAGCCTGCTCATTTATATATTACAACCACATTGGCCTATTATTAATACTATAATGGCCTCAACCATCAATTTTGGGAACAAACCATTAAGGCATTCTGTGGATTCCATATCAACTGTCTTAAAGGCAAAAAATATTTCATCCCATTTTTAACTATACTTGAATATAAAAGTTCTGCTCGCTAATTTCCTGAGGTCTCTTCACACGTATATTATCTGCCAATTTTGATTGCACACAGTTCTGAATAAATGACTTTAATTTCTTGAATCTCTCATTCTAATGGAAATGCATCTCATTGTATTTAAGCTTACTTGTCAAAACCAGGCAATTTTCTAAGCACTGAGGTGCCATACTTTATTCCTACAAGATATCCTAAGAAAAGTTTGTAAGTTCTTGCCAAAGAATATATAAGTACAGTACTTTTCTCAAGGATACTCTAAGATACATTCTTGCCAACCAGTACTTTTCTTTAAGATATTCTGAGAAATATTCTGAGAAATATTCTTCCCAACCAGTATGCACAGTACTTTATGACATTCTTAAAAATATTCATGCTTTACTATTGGCAGTAACTACAGTGCGACTTCCTCCTCAAACAGTCACCTCTTACCAACAGCCACCTCCTTACAACAGCACTGCCGATTTCAATTCAATCTCAAATGGCGACATTTTAAACTGATTTGCAAATCTAAAACATACTAAATACATAACCATGCATGTATTGTTTCTATGAATTCAAGGTCAATAATGTATTTCAAATGGCCATGTATTCCTGACTTTATTAAATTACTCCATGAAAATGTATCATTTGACAGTATGACATTTTTCACTAAATTAGGACATTATGTATCGTGACACAGTAACGTTTATATCGTAAGATAAATTACTTCAAAGTGATCAGGTAATTAAAGTGTGCCCACGTCTAAGAGCTAAGCATTAATGGGTCATCAATTTAAACGAATACTGCCTGACTAAAAGCCGTATGTAGTATCATGTCTAACTTGACATTTCCGGGGTAAACAAAAAGTCACATAAAAAACTTCTAATAGACCAAAGCTTAGGATACGACTGTGTCAACAGCTGATCAATTACAAATGATAAGGCCGATTGCATGCTCTTTTTATCTTGAATATTGATTGAAAATTGATCTTTTAATTATTCTCAGAGAAGCTTTTTATCCATCCATTTTTATTATCGCGTCATGCTATTTTGTATCATAGCAAATAAAAAATCCATGGAACCACAAAAGTTATTTGATACAGATATAAGAACAGGGAATGGCCTATTTACTGCCCACTCAGGGGTGAATATAATATAACTCCAGGTCTATTATCTCTGATAATGCATTAGTAGTTACTGCCAAAGCATAACTCTATGACAAGAAATAAAATTTGTTTCTTTCATTTTAATTGTGAATTTAACAAATTTTGTGGTAACATTTCAGCCATCAGTCCACTAAACGGCTTTCCTGGATAACTAACCATTAACAACAAAGTTTTACACAAGTTTTTGTTTGTGTGTTTATTTAGATCATAAGGGACCGAAACAGAAAAGATTATTTTGGCTAATCTCAGGTGTTATAAACTTAAAACCACCTCACCTGCTGGAGCTAAGAGATGCATCGACTACAAATTAATTCAAACCCATTTAGTCGCCTCTTACGATCACACAGGGTTAAACGGTGACTGCAATTCTGATGCCTCAACCCATAAAGGTAACCCCTCAGCCACAAGGGCTTTTTACACAAGTATAACAGATAACTAATTCCACATAATATCTGAATCAGTCTGTTGAGAGACAAATGCTGAAAATAGACTCAATAAATGTCCAAGGACAACAAACCCACAAAAATTTCACCTCGCCAAAAGATTAAACCGGTGACCCAAAATTTGATGCTGAATTTCTATTGAGCTTTAAGCAGCAAAAAATTGACATTCACATGTATCTTTCGCCTGAGTGACATTTAACCCTAAAGCTACTTCAAATCCCAAGGGTAGAACTATGCATAAAAATACAAAATATTTTGGTAAAATAATGAAAAACAGGAAAATATAGAGAACAAGAGCCCGGTTTGAGCCGGGTGATGCTCCCCGAATAGGTTTTGGACACAGGAAAGTACACCTCTTGTAGTTTCAGAGTTATGTCCCTGGAAAAAGTTCAAAGTGCAATAATTCCAAAATTAAGAAAGGCAGAGTTACTGTTCTTTGCACTGCACTTCTAATCACTGTTATCTATCAACTTACAAAGTTTCTTGTTGATATCTCTTATGGTTTCCGAGTTATGTTCCGCACAACTTCAAAAAGTAAAAATAAACAAATGGCAATAACTCCAGAATTAGGCAAGGCAGAGTTATGATTTTCGTGCACTGCACATCTACCCATTGAGATACATCTACCTACAAAGTTTCATGTTGATATCTCTTATAGTTTTACAGCTATGTCCAGTACAAGATTTTTCTATAAGGGGAGATAATTCAAAAATGAGGCTTAACAGAGTTATGGTTCTTTTGCACTGCACTTCTACTCAATGAGATCTATCTACCTACAATGTTTCATCTTGATATCTCTTATAGTTTTAGAGTTATGTTCCGGACAAAGTTCAAAGTGTTGAAATTAACAAAGGGCAATAACTCCAAAATTAGGACAAAAAGAGTTATTGTTCTTACCACATCTACCCATTGAGATCTATTCACCTACAAAGTTCCATGTTGATATCTCTTATAGTTTTAGAGTTATGTCCGGACAAGATTTTTCTATAAGGGGAGATAATTCAAAAACTGGGCAAAATAGAGTTATGGTTCTTTGACACTGCACTCCCTCTCAATGCCCTCTACCACTGTATGAAGTTTAAACAAATTATCTCCAAGGGTTTTCAAGTTATGCTCCGGATAAGAAAACGGACGGACGGACGGACAGACGGACAAGGCGCCGACTATATGCTCCCCCGAAATTTGTCGGGGAGCATAAAAATCCATTGGTAAATCAAAGGCCTTTTATGACCTTGACCCTCTTGATCTCATATCTGCAAGAAGATAAGGTAACTACATGCTATATAATTATATAATATGATTAACTCAATTAAGAAGTAGGTTACAAAAATGTATTTTCAGTATTGGTAACCTTAACCTTGATGACTGAAAGAAGATTTTGCAAAGTGCCCAATATACTAATTATCTAAGCCATCTGCCAATAAATAAAGACTATTGTGACAAGAGGTAGAAAGACTTTTTTGTGGCTACCATTACATTGTTCTTATTAATGCAATCATAATGTAGCCAACATCAGCCAAATTATAGAGACGAAAAATGGGTCCCTGAAGAATGATGAAATAAATTTTTACTGTGAAAACTAGACAAGGTTGTTATCCTCCAGGCAGCCACATAAACTGTTTCCAAGTAACTAATTAGTTTCCAATCAGCAAGAAAAATAACATTGAACTTTCCCCAGAATTACACAATCATGCCCCGACTGTTTATAGGGAAATAAAAGTAACAATTATGAGGTATCCTAGTGAGGTATCAAAGAGAAAATCATAAGCAGCTGCTTGGTAATTAAATAACTAGATGTTTCCAACAGGTCTCAGCCAACGCATGTCCAAGTATGAACCAAATCTCCCAAAAATGACAAAGTTATAACAATTTTAGCAATTTGGTCATGTAAAGGTAAAGGTTATATTTGCATTATTAAACAGGTTGGTTTTGTCATAAGTATTGTTTTGTTTATGTT